GGCCATAACTGTCTACAGACGACACGCTATCGTAAGATAATTGAGCGAAAAGTACATGGACTGTTAGGCCCAGAACATACCGGTTCAATCCGGTTTCAAACTGATCGCGTCATGTGTGGCCTCTCAACGGAATCTATGGCAGAAACTTAGATGCAATTCAAAAGTAACTATAGCCTGGTCTGTGAGCACGTAGAATTTTGTCCAATGACCCCAAGCTACCCATCCTTATTGCTCGCGCGTAATTATGTTGCTATCGCGCTCGCACACTCACTGCGGGTGCAGGTCGCACAGTCGCGACAGCAATATAATTATGCGCGAGCGATAAGGATGGGTAGCTAGGGGTCATTGGACAAAATTCTACGTGCTCACGGACCGGGCTTTAGAAGTTGGCAACTTCTAGTTACTTTTGAAAACTTCAAGTTGCAGTTTCGTTGCAATTGCGTTTCACCGTGTGTTCTGGGCCTTAAACTTAATATTCCATGCAACTCTGTGTTGATAAGCTACTGTTTTCCACATGAGATGAGCAATCTTAATTATGCCTACATGATCTAAGTTGATCTGAGAGTGTATTTATCTTTTTTCGGGGGTTCTGAGTTCGATTCTCAGATCGGAATTGCTAGCCTTTGCCTTGCCCAGTTTCGTAAGATCATTTCAGACTTAAATGACCCTGTAGTCTAAAAAGAAACATCATTATGTGCCTTGGAAATAGGAGTTGCTTGTATGAGAAGGTTTTTAATTCGTCCTGCGCAAAAACCCGAAGCTTCAGACCCCAGTTATTGCATTACATTACAACCCATACGATAGATAGACGTATAGCGTCACATACAAGAAATAAAGTGAGCTGTGCTGAGGTCCCTTACAGCGGCAGCAAATACGTTAATAAGAATAAGACATTTATTCATAATGTTCATTACATGTCAAATTTTCACTGTGTTACCTACTTATTTCTTAGATTTTAAATGTGCAACTGTCCACATTGCATGCCGTGGCAGCCTTTAATTAAGACAACACTTAGTTCTAAGCACTTTTAGCGTAATTCCATGTATGCGTGTTTGTCTTGTTGGTTGTCCTAATAAATAAATAAAATAAAATAAATAGAATGGGACAGTTATAAGATCACTTTGTTATCTGCCTTTCAAGATCCTTTTTTAACCCACCTGCGTGACCTCTCCCTAGCCTCCTGCGAGTCAGCCTTGGACACGGGAGCCTTGAGGAAGGCCTGCTTGTATATCCACTCGGCTTCATCTTCCAGCTCAGTGCTGCCTTCTTCCACCGCTGTGATCGGAACCTCTCTGATCTGCATCCTCTCGGGAACGTCCAGTTTGCGGATCTGGAAGAGTGCAAGAGGTTAAATGGTGGCTTTGGGGACCTTATGCTATGTTGAAAATAGGTGTGGTGGATATGTATTTGCTAAAAAAGAGCTCTATGACTGTCTGTTTAACACAGTATCTGCATCCTCGCGGGAACGGCGCACAAGAGGTTTTATTGCAATATGCAATGCTGAAAATAAGCGATGTGAAAATAGGCGATGTGGTGATTATGTCTTAGCTAAAAGAGCTAAAGCTCGCATTTAACAGTAACGATCACAGTATCAGCATCCTCTTGGGAATGTCCAGTTTGCGGATTTGGAATTAGCATTTGGAAGAGGACTCAATAAAAAAGCGCTGTAACGCTACTCGTGGTGTTTGATAGGATAGATTACAACTTGGCCTTACTGCCATATTGCTAGTGTTACGTACTAACTTCAGGACATCAAGCTCCTGGTAAAGAGAGCATAATTTCTGTGAACTAGAACATAAAGACTAACCTGTCAAATATAATACACACCTCATTATCCAGATCAGTGAAGTGGCTTCTCTTCAACTCGCTCGGTTCATATATTTCAAATATAGACTTCTTGCTGGGACGCTTTGGTTTACCCTTTTTAGTTCTCCTTCGTTCACCTAAAAATAAAGTTACGATAATTTTATCACCTTTCAATCGTTGGTTTGCAGTATGATATTAATGTTTTCTACAACATTTGGATAGTGTGGCAGTAACCTGCCTTTATGAAAGAGCTAAAGATTAGTTTATGTTTATTTTTGTTTATGCACTGGATTATTTACATAATTAATTATTAATCATAAACTTGGTGAAAGTGTGTAACCTTTTAACCCAAAGTGTAACATTTTATCTGTATTCTCATGGATTGTATAAACACAACTTATAAGTGAATATTGCAATAAACAACATAACACAATATTGATTTGGTTTTACCATATTTAGTCCAGCCATCATTCCAATAACATAGCAATAACTATGTAAAGCTTGATTATCTATGACTTACCATCATCTTCCTCATCCTCAATGTACTCGTCCAGGTCTTCTTCATCCTCATCCTCATAATCTTCATCACCATACTTCTCAAACTCATCATAGTCAAAGTCCACACCGAATATGTCCTGACCTTCTTGGAGGGATCTAAAATAGAAATTGTGATCTAAAATATTTGTTGTAAATGTTGCTTTTATTTCACTGCAACATACTTTTTTGGATCCAAACAAAAAAGTGAAATCCGAATTAGTTTTTTTACTTTCTAATTATAACGAATTACTTACGCATCAGTGAAGATTGGTTTACGTTTCTTCTTCCGCTCAGCGATTGGTCTGCCATCATCATCCACAATAAAGTCATCGGCGTCCGATTCCATGTCCTCATTGTCATCATCGTACTCCGCTTGCGCTTGCTGGTGGTGGGCTGCTGCTTCTGAACGATTCTCATCCTCCTTTACAGAAAAAAAACGTTTAAAAATACATGCCATTGAGTCTTTGGTCTGTAGCGCCGTAAGGGGGGGACGGTGGGTGCGGTCCGCCCCGGGTGCCAAGCATCAGGGGCTGACAACAGTCGCGCAAATTAGTACTCACTGGCGCATCTACATGACAAAGACGCTCATGATATGTCATGTTACGTGCTATTAGTATCATTCATTCGTACTAACATCTTTCATCTTCGAATCGGTACCAAAAATCTTGGGGAGCACCAGACCATTCTGGGGTGCTTTAGCCTTAGACTTATGACAGGGGGATTAAGAAAATAGTAGAAAGAAAGTTAATTTTAATACTACCACAATTTTTTTTGTGGTATTAAAATTTACTAAAAAGCTAACCCAAATTATGAGTCAGTGTCTCATTAGTGAATCACTGCTATTTTTAGAACAATGCAGCACAGGATTGCACAATGTTATATGACATTACTGTTTTTAAAAACATTGGCAAATGAGCACTTACTTGCTAATGAACTCCTTTATTATACTCTAAGTGGTCATTAACACTCTATATATCATTATCCTAATCCAGAAAAGACCATTTATTAATCATACACTAAAAATTGTCCTAATTCCTTAATTTTTTTTTCTTATCCAATAAATAGTGACATCTTAGTAAAATGAAAATCTACTAAGATTTCACATTAAAAAAATATTGCCCATAATTTGAATCATTTTTATGATAAATGCTACATAATATATCAAATATTAATTCACAAACCTCATCAGATCCTCCGACAAAGAGTTTTTCTGCAATAACCTCTCTCTCTAGATCCGGGTCATCGGCCCCCTCATTGTCACTGTCATCGTCTTCCAAACGTCGAAGACGTTTAAATTTATTCTAGAAACACAAAGAATGTGGTTATTATTATTTTAGCTTTTTTTAACATTTTCCACAAAACAAGATATATTTTTTTTGTACATGTAGTTTTAGTATAGAATTAAAGATATTTTAATTTCAAAAAGGTTATTCTTATTACCCTTGCAACTTTAACACCAAGATTCTCTTCAATGAGATCATAATCTTCATCTTCTAACCGGTCGTCAAGTTCATCGTCACTCTTTTTCCGTTTCTTTGTAGGACCTTCATCAGAATCTTCTCCGTCACTACCTGATTCATCTATAGGAGCATCATCTATCAAATCTTTTAGCTCCTCACGCAGACGGTCCTCATCATCTGTGAAATGAAAGTTATAAAGTTATAACTACCAAACACAACCAAAGTGTGTCAATCTTGAGGAAACAAGGTTATGAAATAAAAGTATTTTGGGACTTCGACACACGATGCAGCGGTCGTCCTAGTTTAGGAAACGAGTGCGAAATCACTAAAGATTGTTCCAAAATCGCCAAACGTGGTATTTTCTACCAATACCAAGTTCTTACCTTCTTCGTCTTCATCTTCGTCGTCACTCTGAACTTGTGCTTTGCGCTTAACCTTCTTACGCTCTGTGGGCTGCTCGTCATCTTCAGACAACTAAAAAGATATTTGTTATAGTAATAATTAGTAGAAAGCACAGTAACGTAATGTAAAAGCAATCGTATCGTTGGCGAATCACTGCCTTGGATACTTACTCCACTCTCCTCGGCCTCAGAGTCGAAGAAATCAGCCATATTCACTTAGCACTAATAAAACACTGAATAAAATATACAGACACGTTAATTCTACGCGAATAACCACAGTAAAATGATATTTTTTGACTAAAATTGCTTGAGAAATGAAAGAAAAGTCAACTCAATTCGCATTATTTTCTAATTACCATTCAATCAATCATTCGTCGTTCATTCATTCACGCGTGGCAATGTTGGTACTACAAAATGTTGCCAGTAATTTGAAATGAGCTACACAGAAATAGCTCAAATAAACCGACGAACGTTAAAATAATAAACGTCCGTGTTCTGTCATAATCTGTCAAAAACAGAAATCCACTGGAGTTCATTTTTGTTGACAGACAACTCTAGAAATATAGATAGATAAAAATCTATCTGNTTATGTCATAAACATATTTTCTGTCTAATGTACATAGTAATATGATTAGTTATTAAGTATTATTATCCTGTAAACAATAACACCATTCCTGCCTGATCCTTCAAAATTTTCTCTCTTCCCGGGTATTTTCCTATAAAATCCGTTTCCCAACCTTTACACCTCGTCATTGGCAAATGCACAAGCCGTGCGTGCCAGAAAAAAAAAAAAAAAAAAAAAAAAAGAAATCCACTGTTTGTTGATCAAAAAATCAAAATTATTTTATTTGTGAAATATCTAATATAAATTTTGTTAATAAAAATGGAAAATAATGCACCTATAGTAAAAAGTACTATTTATATGGGAAAGAAATATGTTCCTATAACTGATGGATGTAAGGTAAATTGAGAGAACAACAACAGGTGATCAGTCAGTGAATACTTTTATTTCAAGGCTTATTTTGTATTTGCAGGCTTATTTTCATTTCCAAACATGGAAATTGGGGAAGAAGAGAGTTCTCTTAGATGATAGTAAGAGAATTGGGAAGAAAGAGCCAATGGTATTAGTAATTGGTCACAAATTCAAACTAGAAGTATGGGAGACAATCATCAAAATGATGGCTATTGGGGAAGTTGCTAGCTTCCAAGTAAAAAAAGAGGTATTTTATAAAACATTCAACTGATAGAATTAGTTATAAGGTATACTGTTAGTTATACGATTTCAACCTTATCATCACATTAGTTATAATCCACTAGGTGAAGATATCTTCTTAAACTTATTTTTATTTCTTCAGATGGTCTTCAGTTACCCCTTTGTATCAAAAACATTGCGTGAACTTGGACAGGAAACTGGCAAAGTAAAACACTCGTGCACAATGACACTTCAAACCGAAGGCATTGGCTATGCAGACCTGGATGATTTGATGAACAATCCATGTGACTTGGAATTTGTTATTGGTAAGTATTTATACATAGTACACTATATTTTATAATTTTCTTATAAATTATAACACTAATTCATCACTTAAATTACAGAACTTCTAAAAGTAGAAAGTGAAGAAGATTATGAGAAGGACATTTGGCAGCTTAATGAAAAAGAAAGATTAGATTTTGTCCCCACCCTAAAGGAAAGGGGCAACAAATTATTCAAAGAAAAGAATTATGCTGAAGCTGAGGAATGTTACAAAAAAGCAATTGGTATTTGTGAACAGTTGTTGCTCAGGTAATTATAAGTTAATAGATCAGTTTTTTAATCAATTGGATTCTTAATAGAAATATAAATTCAAAACTATATATTAATTTCAGTCCACAGACCTGACTGAACCTGGCTGTACTTGTAACATATTTATGGGTTTTTTTACATAAGTTTTTTACTATCTTTTACAGGGAAAGAAAAGGAGACGAGGAGTGGAAAAACTTGAATACTATTAAAATGCCCATATTGCTCAACTACACACAATGTAAACTGCTAAATGAAGATTATTATGCTGTCATTGAACATTGTAATACAGTGCTACAGTTTGATCCTGGTATAACATTTACTATCTTGCATACCTAGTAAAGATTGTTTATTATGAAAGAAACAAATATGTTTGCTTTGTTCAGCTTTTCTTGAAAAATATTTTATAAGAACAATGTCTAGTCTCATAAGACTGAAGTAATGGATAATTTTCTTATTCTAGATAATGAAAAAGCTTTATACCGACGTGCAAAAGCTCACACTGGAGCATGGAATCCTGACCAAGCCGAAGAAGACTACAGAAAGCTGAAGACGTTGAACCCATCCATGGCTGCCACCATAGACAAAGAATTAGAAAGAATCAAAACAATGCGACGGCAAAAAACAGAGCAAGACAAAAATGCCCTTAAAAATTTGTTTGCAAGCAATAGCAGCATATAGAGCCCTGAAACCTGTTTAGTAGTGTCCAGTGCAATACCAAAGTTTTAAGTTACCACAAAGTTTTATTGTAGGTAGTTCAATGCTATTTTGTTATTTCTGAATATCTGCATTATACTTTTTTGGCAGATACTCAGAGCATTGTGTAGATTATACTTGAATAGTGTACTTATTATTTATTAAGTAGGTAATTTTACCTAAATAAAATAATTAACTATTTTAAATTCAATGTGTTTCAAACAAAATGGCTACATATTCCGCATTTTAAATATCATAACTTTAAGAGATTTATAGAATTATGTTTTGTTGTTAGTAAAGAAATACTTCACATTGTGATATACATAGTGTCTTTATTTAAATGTTTACTGTCGAATTAATATATAAATATTTACTGTCGAAATTGCTTTTTAATTTATTTAAAACATCGGAAAATGTTTTCCTATGCCACATCAAAACCCGCCCCGTTTAGGGTCCGTGATTTAAATCATTGATTGACCAATGTATTGACTACTTGCTCAGTGGTCGAATACAGTGAGACACCGCTATTTTTATTAAATCTCGCTAAACGTAATGATAATAGCCTTATTATTATTTTTTAACCCTCCTTATGGCGCGTCGGGTAAAAAATAAGTACCTTTCCTTTCCGCAATCAAAAATATAATCGACAAAAAATTCTAGTCGATTTTTATATGTGTCGCAGTCGGATTGTATAATCCGCCGTTTTACATTACCACTAGGCATTTTACATTACAGCTCTGTTTTGTAATACGGCGGTTCAACGTTTAGGCGGATTGTCATTGCGATACGTTCTTCAATACGGCGGCCAACGTTTAGCCGCATCGTACTACATCATAGATTGTAGGGTGACCATACTTACAAAATAAAACAATGATTAATGAAAATAAATTTTAATTTGAATAAGACAGATTTCTTCTCACGATATTTCTTAGTAATTAAGTAACAATTATTATTTTCGTTAGTGTAAGTAATACTAAATTATATATTTGGCTTCAGTCATTTTTTTGTATATTTATAAATCACAGGGGGCAACCATCTCAAAACAAATAAACTTTTTTTGAAAATTAATAATGTAATAAAATATAATTATCTTAAAACAATTAAACTTTTCTAAAAATTTTAAGAAATGATTAAATATCTGGCTTTAGTCTTTTTGCACCAATAATATTGAGTAAGATTCCGCCGAACACCAGAATCCATAGCCACTTTAGCGGTTTTGATAACCTCCAAAACTCGGTCCCTTGTCCACGGTTTTTTGACTGTTCTACATTGTGAAGAATAGATATTATTTAATTGCAAGTTAAAATTGTTCTTAAACTCACTGTCGACACACATATTTATAACGTCTTCTTTATTACATTCAGAAATAACTCCGTAATTTAGCAACGCATCCGACGCCATTGTTTTTGTTATGTCAGGCAGCGCCACGTTATTGAAAATGGGAACTAAAAACTGTCAAAGCGGCGGGTAATGACACGCTGTTTTACATTGCGGCTAGCCGTATTGAAGAACGTTTGGCGCCGAATACATTCCGGCGGATTTTCATTCAGCTGTATTCAATCCGCCTAAACGTTAAGCCGCCGTATTACAAAACAGAGCTGTAATGTAAAATGCCTAGTGGTAATGTAAAACGGCGGATTATACAATCCGACTGCGACATATGCAAGCACTAAAAAAGTGACTAAAACGATAAAATAATAAATCTTTAACATGTGGTAAAATGTCAAAAACGGCAAAGTAAACATAACCTCACTTTATTCCTATTGTACACTAACTAATATTTATTTATTTAATGTGTTTATCCATGTGAACAAAATGTCTCAAGAAACGCAAAATTCTAATAGCGTTGATGGTATATCAGCCAGTGCTAATGACTCTAAAATTAGTGAAGAATATGCGTACTTAGATCGCGGTGGATTTTCTTCAGAGAAGTTCAAAATTGAGCTTCGTGGATTGCCTAAATTTTATGGAATTGCTGTATGTTCACTCTACATTGAACTTTATAGGGATTTACTGTGCATTCCTATATTGTTACTTGTCTTTCATTTGGCTCTTTCTATTTACAGGAACTTAAAAAATTAATGAACCAAAAACTGGGTCTCAACACTAGTAAGATCAAGAGGCCAAAAAACGGTAGTCACTGGCTATTTGCTTGCTTTCAAAACGATGAAGACAGGGCCAAAGCCATTGCTGCGCTTAATGGATATTCCTGGAAAGGTAGTTTGATATTTAGACAAATTTTCCTTACCTAGTTTACGTGTTGTAACATACCTTCATATTACTAACATGGTTTCTAAATTGCTTAGGAAAAACTCTAGTAGCTGAAGTAGCTAAACCAGCCCCAGATCCTTTAGTCAGAAAGAGGAAGCAAGAAGAAGATAGCACTGTAGCAGATAAGAAGAAAAAAGAAGATGATAGAGACCAAGAGACTAGAGTCAAAGATGCAACTACACCATACTGGAATATGCCATATGAGGAACAGGTAAGCAGGAGTACAATTGTTGGCACATTATACTAAATATTTAATACATAACATGTTAAATGATGAATAATATTAATAAAACTTTTCAGTTGAAACTAAAAGAAAGGGAAATCAAAAACATCCTAATGAAGTTTGACAATGAAATTTGGAAATTAGATTATGCAAGGAGAACTGAAATAGAAAATATGCGCAAAATACATAAAGGCTTGACCTTTGAACTTCAAGCTATAAAGCCTTCCCCTGTAACTAAAGGTTACAGGAACAAGTGTGAGTTTACAGTTGGTATTGACGAAGAAACAAAACTTCCGACTGTAGGGTTTAGATTAGGGAGTTACGCTACGGGCACTGTTGGGGTGGCACCTGTGCAAACTGTCAGTCATATATCTGAAGCCACAAAAAAGGCTGTTCTGGTAAGTAAACTTAAAAAAATTATGTATTGAATTGAATCTTTTGAATTTGTGATTTTTTATGTTTGTTGTTTTTAAAACATATTTTTACATATTGTAGCTATTCCAAGAATATGTACGCAAGTCAAATATGGCTCCATTCTCCCCTGCGGACTACTCTGGTTACTGGAGGACTTTGACTGTGCGGCACTCATTCTCAACAGGAGATGTTATGCTCATTGTTGCTGTACATCCACAGGTAATATTAATATTACAATTGCATCTAAATGTCCTGGTCAGCCACTGAATGTTATTTTATTGTTGAAATAATTAAAGAATTTATTTTAACAGTTTCTTTGATCAATAGAATAACATACAGAATTCACTATAACCTATTAACCTTTCTTTCAGCAATTAACAGAAGAAGACATAGCAAAATTGAAAAATGATCTAATAAATCATTTCAGCTCAGATGAAGCTAAAGCTTGCAGTATAAAGTCTTTGTATTTGGAACTCCTTATTAAAAAGTAAGTTTAGAGCACTAAACAACAAACACCAATTTTCCAAAGGTCTACTCAGCGTCACAATAATAGACAGCAACACAGCTGCCGAAAAGTCTAGGGGACTTTTTCGTTTAGTAAATTCAATAACACAAATCATATCTAAAAGCTATATCAGTTAATTTATGTTTTCTACCCTTCTAGGAGAGTAGGGGAAGAAGGTTCTAAGCCAGTTCACTTGATGGGATCAACCCACATTATAGACACAATATTGGGAAAGCAATTCAGGATATCTCCAGAAGCATTCTTCCAGGTACATATTTAGCTATACTCAACTAAGAGTAAATTAGTTCCATTGTAATTGAATTTTAATTTTATAGTAGTCTGCTACATGACTGCAAGTGATCAACATCACAAACCTAGTTATTCAAATGTGAAGCTCGAAGCTGCTTTCTGCGCCTATTTGTACATATTGCGTGAGTATATAGGCGCCCTTATAGAAACATGCCCTTACAGAGCAAAGCTGCTACATAAATCTGTATTATTTGCAGATAAACACAGCAGGAGCGGGGATCTTGTACGAGAGCGCTGTTGCTATGAGTCACGTGACACCGGAGTCCGTTGTTTTGGATATCTGCTGCGGCACCGGCACCATCGGATTGTGCTTTGCTAAGGTACATAAAAATAACAAATTATGCTTAACCCAAAATCAAGTGAAGTTATGATTACACATCTTGAAAAAATAACTCATTCCATGTAGCTCAACTGTATTAAACACCAGTATTATGTCCCCAAAAGACAGGAACACCTGTTTGGGGACTACAATCCATACAAAATAGTTGCATAACACCCGAAAATCGACTATGTGTCTTTTATGGATTTGCACGTGAAACTATGACGTCACGAGTTAATAACACACAGTAGGTGTGAGACTAAAGTCAATAATTTATTACGAGACCGAAACAACATTTTGCTAAGATTTTTTTTTACAATAAATAACTTATTCAATTGGTTTCCACTATTTTCTACAGCATTGCAGCAAAGTGTTGGGCCTAGAGCTGATCGCGGAAGCGGTGAAGGACGCGAAAGCGAACGCGGAGCTGAACGCAATAGAGAACTGTGAGTTCTTTACCGGCAAGGCGGAGGACATCCTGCCGTCCGTACTGGCGAGAGCGGGCCCAGCACAGGACCTCGTCGCCATCGTCGACCCGCCCAGGGCTGGCTTGCGTGAGTGGAGTTTCAATATTTGATTAACTCGTTTGTCATTACTGTTTGCGAATCATAGGACGTCTGCAGGACAACACAACACCTTTATGTGGTCGAAATCTACAAAGCACACCAACGCGCTTTACCACAACCTTTAAGTTGCTCACACCCAAGAGTGTGATTATCTGCCGATATCCGTGTCGAATTTTATACAAGCTCAAGAGCTTCAATGTACGACTGATGAATTGACTTGGCATCTTCTAGGCAAGCTCGATTAGCGACTGCCGGGAATGTATGCGTAACTATAAATTCGGAAAGTCAAATTCACCCGTTTTATTTCTTTTTTTTATTTGTGATTTTATTTTCATGCATAGGGAAACCTTTCAATTTTTTGTGGCACTTATGATCTACATTATCAGAAGTTGGTACGAACGACATCATAAAAACCATAGCACAAAAAACATCGCTTTATTAGAAAAGCAATAAAGAATTTGAATTATTTTCTCCCATCAGATATGAGAGCAGTAACCCAACTGCGCAACACGAAGAAAGTGAAGCGGCTGGTATACATATCGTGTAGCCCGGCGTCTGCCGTGAAGAACTTCATCGACCTCGCGCGGCCGCCGTCCAAGACGCTGCGCGGAGCCCCGTTCCTGCCCGTCCGAGCGGTGCCTGTAGACATGTTCCCTAATACGAAGCACGTGGAGCTGGCCATACTGTTCGAGAGGGAAGAAGAAGTAAGCATGCAAAGCTTTGGTTTTAGGGCCCACGGTGATTTTTCAGCAGCATCGCACTACAGAAGTGATGCCAACGCGCTACTCAACATCAAATAAACCGCACCTTCCGCGACGCAAACTTTAAAGATTTTTTTGACGCAATCATGGTGCCCCAACAATATTAGTGATATTTGAAAGCCCAATAAATATCCTTAAAGAAAAACACATTTAATTTCTTAATAAATGATTAACATATACCATAAATGTGACTTGAAAAAAGACCTCACTTTGGGCTCACCTCTGGGATCAATTAGACCAATTTTTATGGTTATAAAACCAAATCATGATGTCACGTGTCCTCTTTAACAGATGGATCGCGATTAATCCCAACTTCACAGTTTTATAGCCATAAGGGGTCATCCATAAAGTACGTCACACGTAAAGAGGGGGGGAGGGGGTCGACAAAGTGTGACATGGTGTGACAAGGGGTGGGAGGGGTCCTAAGTTTTGTGACATCACATTTCAAAATCTAATATATCTAGAGGTACTAATCGCGTAATTTGAAATATAAATTAAACTAAAAAATACCCCCACCACTTAAGCACAACTCCGTCGAAGTCGAAAACCTAAGAGAGTCTTAATGGGCAACCAATGAAGCCATTAAATCAATAAAATCTTTTGTAGGTATTATTTCAGATTTAAAATCTAATTCTACTGGCCTATAATGCCGCCAAACGCACCGTACCTCGCGCGTGATTTTATTGTTTCTATTTGTTGCTATTTTTTTGTTAATTTAATAATTTTTCGATGTGAAATTGCAAAACATGTGACGTCACACTAGGGAGGGGGGGGGGTTTCAGAAATGTGACCACCTGTGACAAGGACGGGGGAGGGGTCAAAAAATCATAAAATTCGTGTGACGTACTTTATGGATGGCCCCTAAAAGTTGGCTCAAGCGTAGTAACTACCTGTTTTTTGAAGAAGTAACTCTGGATCCTTCTAGAGCCACATTTTTGGGGTAAAAACCTCTCCTTTAATGAAATGAAGCTTAGAAATAGGCTTTCAAATGGTCCCAATATTGGTGGGAAGTGGGGATGCATACGTTTGAAAGTGCTTGTCGCGGGAGGTGCGATTTATTTGATGTCGAGTGTATAATATGGCTTTCGTAATCGTGATCGAAGTGATTAAAATTTAAATTTAGAATTCATGCAGGGGACTCTCCAATCAACCTCATTCTTTATCAAATAAGTGATTTAATTAAAATTAATTTAGGTTAGGTAAACAAAAAAATAATTAACTGATTTTGCCTGATGATTCGACCGGCACTGTCCTCTGCTGCTGCACTGCACACCGCACTGACCTCCTTCTGCGCATTCGGGTAAAAATAATTTAGAAAGGTGATTGCCCGAAGGGATATAAAGGTGTTTTGATTGGGATTGGTGTTGTATTTAAATCACCTAGTAACACAGTGAGAGTTGCTGTGAGTCCATAAGAAATATTAAATATGAAAAAATTATAAAAAAGTACCATAAAGTAAGAAACAGTTTCAATGTTTATCAAAGCCTAAACAACTTATGGATGTTTAGGAGTTAATAGGATGTATTTGAATGATTTCAAACTTGCATTTTGTTCACAGAAAGAAGATGAAGTAAAGAAAGAGCCAGCTAAAGAGGACAGTGACGAAGTTGCCGCTGTAGACGTCAAAGACATCAAGACGGAATGCAAACAAGAAGACAGTATGCCTGTAGATGAAGTCGCAGACATTAAAACAGAATGCAAAAAAGAAGATCAAAACGTCGGGACATGTAAAAAAGATGATAATTAATAAATAAAAGTTTTTACGTAGTGTTAAGTAAGAACATAAATAATTAAGATTATGATTACTAAAAGTAATAAACTTTTAAATTTACATCCACCTTTTATTGCTAATTGCGAACTTCCTTTATTTAACAAATATTTAATTATGATGTTTTACGACAGATACATAGATGCTCGTATGTATGTGTGTAGCATTAGAATCGATTATTATGTTAATTCAGAAGTACTTACTTAATAAATCGAAGCAAAATCGGAATTTATTTTTACCTAAAAAATGTATTAAATTCCTATTACAAAGAAAACACGAATTCCAATCTTTATTATTTAAAAGAGGCAGGCGCCCTATACCCTCTATTAATTCCGAAGGAATTTAATATCGAGAGGCGACGGCGCACCGCATTCCCACCCGAGCTGGCAGCAAATACCATCACGCCTCGTGACGTTCCACATTTCCAATTTTATGAAATAAGGAGTTATGATGTGTTACAAAATACGACGAAAAACGATTGTATTTTACCGATTCGATAATTTGATTGTGAATTATCACATTAGCTCCTAAAAGTATAATGTACTAGCTTTTGCCCGCGGCTTCACCCGCGTGAAATTTAGTTTGTCACAGATCGTCATAAATTATAGCCTATAATGTTAATCTGGGTTATAAACAATAATTTTGTTAAGTTTCATAAAAATCTGTTCAGTAGTTTTTGCGTGAAAGAGTAACAAACATCCAGACATCCAAACTTTCGCCTTTATAATATTAGTAGGATAGGATGAAATAATACTAAGTTATTCACAATAATAGTAACGAGATAGCAAGCTACCTAAGTAAGTATAGGTAAGTATAGTATTAATTCTGTCTCTAACACACACTTGCCATGTTACGTTTTATCATTTAATTTATTACGTGCTGTGTTGTTTTATAAATATTAACTTTTAAGCTGATTTTTAGGTGATCCTAAAAGTAAATAAAAAATATCTAAACACTTTTCTCGCCGACTGTACCCCCGATTGCACCGCATTCCTGTGTCACCCCGAGGTGGCTGGGGGTGGCCACAGGCTCGTTATTTTCCCAGATTAAGTTATCCGGACAGCTGGCGCTCTATCCATTATCATCTAAGCTGTCGTCGGAAACACTTGGCTCCAGTCAGTTTCGAGAAGTTTATTTTAAAATGTGCTACGCCTAGACAATAGTAGAAAATGCGTGTCAAGTTTATATCAGCTGTATTTTTTACGCTTATATGTTCCCATTATTCGTTTTTGTTACGTGAAAAACCAGGTTAGTAACTATTTATTTAATTTTATATAACTCAGTTATTTTATTTCTGTGGTTTTAAAAATCATAAAATGTAAAATGTGAACAAAACTATTCAAATTTTTCCCGCATTTTGTGCAGAGCGCCGATTGGCCGAAAGTGAATCAGTGTTGGACCCAAACGGTGAGCTACTGTTGAAATGGCGAGTGGATTATTTAGCTCGCAGAATCCAATTTGAAATAGTGATATCAGAAAAAGCTCCTGCATTTAATTGGTTCGCTTTAGGTTTTTCTGATAGAGGGGAAGTAAAGAATGCTGATATTTGCCTTCTATGGACGGACTACAGAGGGCAAGATCATTTTGAGGTAACACCTGATTTATTTTAAAATTAAAAGTTCTGTATATTCGTATTCGTAGTCGAAATGATAAACATTATATCGCATGAATGTTCTATTTGCTGTTTAAATTTATTATTTTTATTTAACAGGATATGCATGCTGATGATCTTGGAAAATTATTCATAGATGCGAAGCAAGATTGTGAGGGTTTCTATTTGGACAGTAAAAGCAGAAGTATTATTTTTGAGCGTTTGTTCGACACTTGTGATAATGACGACTATGTTATTGAGGTGAATACTTGCCATTCTAATTTAAATTATCATTATATCTGTTATGAAATACCTAATGGAATAATAACTCAATTGTTTTAGGATGAGACTGTTCATGTCGTCTGGGCACGTGGAACGGATAAACTTTTTTCATCTCAAGGCCTATGTTTGACAGGCGTTTCAAAACAAAATCGTGGTTTTATAAGAGTTCGCCTTCTTACTCCACCAAGAATGCCGCAAATAAATGCACATGAACTAAAAATTACGAACAACAACTTGAAGGTACCGGGGGCTGATACTACATACTGGTGTAAAGTGGTAAAACTTCCAGACTACGTTACTCAACGCGAACATCATATCGTACAGGTTCAGTTAATATTTTGGAGAGTTTTATTGCCTTCAATTTATTATAGTAATTGTTCGAAATATCACTCAAAAAATATTATATATTTTTTCAGTTTGAATCAAGTATTACTAAGGGTAATGAAGGACTTGTGCACCACATGGAACTTTTCTATTGCGATGCAGATCCAAATACAGACATTCCACTTTACGAGGGAAATTGTTTTGCTAAAGAACGACCAGACATTACTAAACTATGTTCTAAGGTAATCTATGTATATTATAATTATAGAAACCTTTTAGAATTATGCAACAATTTATTTATCTTTATATATATAAAAGAAAGTCGTGTTAGTTACTTCGCTTATAACTCAAGAACGGCTGAACCGATTTAGCTGAAAATTGTCAGGGAGGTAGTTTAGAGCCAGGAGAAGGACATAGGATACTTTTTATCCCGTTCGAAATTAAAAAAAAGTCTGCTTATTTATTGCCATTAAGGCGGAACAAAGTTCGCCGGGTCAGCTAGTTTAGTATAAAAATAACTTCATTGCATCATCCAACAGGTAAAATCAGCATGGGCAATGGGAGCACCTCCATTCATTTATCCACAAGAAGCAGGGCTACCCCTTGGAGGACCAAATGCAAACAAATATGTTATGCTTGAAGTACATTACAACAATCCGGAATTAAAATCAGGTGAGACCCGTTACTGCTCATTTTAACGTTGGAGCTGTTGGTCCACAAATTATGAAAATAAAATATGTTGCAGATTGGGTAGATAGTTCGGGAATTAGCATACACATCACAGCAAAAAGACGGAGATACGATGCCGCAATTATGGAACTTGGTTTGGAATATACGGATAAAATGGCAATCCCTGGTGGACAAAAAGCATTCCCTTTAACTGGTTACTGTATTCCACAATGCACTGGGGTTGTAAGTACATAATAATATAATTTCATTGATAATAAAATGAGCTTTAAAATCATAATATTGTATCATTTCAATGTTGGATCTATTAAATAAGTAATAATTGTATTTGTAATCCCTTCAGATCGGATAAATTTTAGTATACATGCTATAAAGTAGAACTATCATAAATGTGTGACATCGTTATTTATAAATATGGATGTTATAATTACAGGGTATACCACGTCATGGAATTGTAGTATTCGGTAGTCAACTTCACACACATCTGACTGGTATAGCTGTGTGGACACGGCATTTTCGACAAGGAATAGAACTCCCAATCATCAATAAGGACATGCACTATTCAACTCATTTCCAAGAAATTAGGATATTGCATCGACCAGTGAAGATACTGCCTGTGTGTATAATAATATTTATTAGGCTATTTATAATAATTATATTTAATTTTGTACTTTATAAACCTGTACGCATATTACATTTATTTTTGAAGGGGGACTATCTGCAGACAACTTGTTTATATAGAACGACAGAAAAAACTAACGCAACGATTGGAGGACATGCTATTACGGATGAAATGTGCGTTAACTATTTACATTACTATCCTGCAACACAGTTGGAAGTTTGTAAAAGTGCAATCTCTAATACTGCTTTAGAAAAATACTTTGAATTTGAGAAAAAGTAAGTCCGTAGTTCTAAGAAACTACCTTCTTCATTTCACTATTGGTTTTAAATGATTAATTTTAAATATAATTCTTTATTGCAGTTGGGATGACATATCTATCTCATTTAAATCTAGCCCTCGAGATAATTATTTAGCCATTAAACCTTGGACACCGTTAAGGGTTGTTGCCCTAAACGCTTTATATACTGAATCTACTATATCAATGCAATGCAATAAGTCTGATGGAAATAGATTTCAGGTATAATTTCTTTACTTTGACTTAGATTAGATGACTCATCTGATTATTAAATAAATGTATTTTAATTCTTATTTTATCTATTACAGGGAGAATGGGAGGGCATACCTATTCCAAAAATTAAAGTGTCATTGCCCAACAATCCAAGAAATTGCCCTAATTAAATGGAACTAAGTTCATACACACGGCCACACTGTTAACTATTCATTTCCGTTTTTGCTCTCGCTCTCATCAAATGGTGATTCTTTGCGATAGAACGAGACGACATGACAGGCAATGCATAGTTAACACTATTGCCGATGGTACATACATACATACTTACTATTAAGTACCTACCCTTTATGATATTATAATAATATATTAAATTATTATTGTTAAATGCTGTTAATATAAATGAAAATGTTTCATTTGAAATGTATATCGTTATCATTAAAAATATAAGGCATTAAAAATAACTATTAATAAATGGTTTAATAATGTTTGTGGTTGTATGAAAAATTACAGACTGAAGGCAAAATAGACTCATTTAGAGAAATGTAGGACTTTTGTTAATTTTATATGTATGTAATTTGTTTTACACTTGCATCTTGTGAGCACGGTCTTATAAAAAAAATACGATTATTATTATAATTGTTCAAGTATGTTCATTTTTTCATACAAATAAAATATAATATCTCCTATCCTCTATCTTTTATTATAACAACAAATAAGACAAGTCTTAATTAAAACTCAGACCCTATACAAGTGGCAACACGTGCGTGATAGTTGTAATTTTGAAATCGCTTTACAGAGCGAAGTACTAACTACACACAAAAAGGAATTTACGTTTTACGGAAGGAAGTTACGTTTTACGGAAGGAAGTTACGTTTTACCACTTGTCTATAGAGTCCTTATCGTTTTAATTCGATTCGTTAAAAATGTGGAAATGACAATAATTACGTTCCATTAGCTATTGAAGGATTCAGAATGGCCTTTCTAAAGACATGGTCACGAATCAAAATGTGGCAGTAGGGCATGCATGTACTTTTATTTGGGTATTAAGAAGCTTCATATTTTCGAGTTAAATAGTGGCTTATAGAATGTTTATGCTTTCTCTCATTGACTACGGGACTTTGATGACGTGATATTGTCACGCATGTACAAGGCAATATTAAACACGACCATGTAAATGATCATTACAATCCATCATTATATTTCAAGTTAACTCGCATTATGTGTTTATCACAAAATGCTTAAAAAATATATCACGTTGGTTATACGACTGTAGCTTTTAATTTTAGTAGTCCCAATCCCACTTTGATGTATAGAACCCGATTTATAGTTGTCCAACATTGAACAGTTCCAGCGTTCCAGCTATGAAAACGCCAGGAGGCGCTATTGTGGTGCTACTATCCAATACTGGGTTATTAGTTCCTATTTCTGCCACTGGACGTTTCAGAATCGTCTGACTATAATGGTCTATACAGATTCCTGAATGGCTCTTTCATTAGCTCTTTTGTTAACTCATTTCAGTAACACACATCACTAAACTTGGCAGCTCAATATGACGTTTGATTTGAGGCTGAGCTAGTACATTCTGACATCTGACATTTTGTTTTCCATTCTCGTGAACGTTTATAATTTAATCTTTTCCGATTTCTAGCGGATTGATTTGTGTAAAAGTAATCATGTCTAATGATTACGGGTTCAACAGTGATGATTCACCAAATAAAACCAATTCCCACTTACAACTTCCGAGCCCAATTATCACTCGACGAAACCGAACTGCGTCAACGTAAGTTAATCACTGTACAAAAAATATTTATCCGATTTATCGCTTTCTGTGTCCTTAATTTATTGTCTTTATTTAGGTCTGAAAGGGCATTAGGAAATCCGTTGGAAAGTGGAAAAATTAAGTCGTTTTGCCGTGAAAAGGGCCACGGTTTTGTATCACCAGAAAAGGGCGGCGAAGATCTTTTCGTGCACATTTCGGAGTGAGTATATTTACATTAAAGTGTGACAGTTGTATACGATTTATCTTCAACATTAGCTACTAGCAATTTTTCAAGTTGTTTACATTTTTAATACCTCAGTTGGCAACAGTCCATGTACCAGGAACACAAACAGAAACAGTACACAATGCCTATAAAACAAGGCGCACTAAATCAGAATGTTGTTTACACTCGCTATTCTTTGTACAAGACCAAATTAAACTGACCTAATTTATCAATTTTCTTCATTCATTGTTTGGATCCAGTTGCTGAGTTATGTTTTATGTTTTCTAATTATAACTTCCCGTTAATGTTTCTGAAATATGTAATAAGATTATTTTGAAAAATAAGAACATTCTGGTTTAGTTTGAATCTTACCTACAAATATTTAAATACTCATGGATGAGGTTCCTATTGTAATTTACATGGGTAGTGTAATTATAATGGCCTTGATTTTTTACTAAATCTACACATTGTCTGCTAACACTAATAATATGGCAAATGGCACAAATGTGTTAAGCACATAAAATTGGCACTAATTGTTTTGCTTAATTACATCTATCAAATTAATCTTGGTGTTTACTTTGTTAAGCCATTGATACAAGAATTTGTTAGTAATTATTAGTGACAGGAACTTATACTAATTTAGATTTAACTAATTTCAGCATCGAAGGAGAGTATGTGCCCTTGCCAGGAGATGAAGTGATATACCGACTCTGCCCCATTCCACCCAAATTTGAGAAGAACCAAGCAGTTCACGTCCGCATCGTACATCTCACTCCTGAAAAGCATCTCAAGTGGGACGAGCCCCCGCTGTAACATCCTTGCAAACACCAAAATGTACATTGATCCTTTCCAAAATCTTTTGCAATTCCCCTATTACTTTTCTCGAATTTTTCCTCATCTTAAAGCAACACAAATCAATTGTTCAACAAAATATCTGCCTGCAATGTGTCTAAACAATTTTAAATCTATATCTGTATGTCAAATCTATTACTTGATTGCAGGATAATTTTTGTATTCAGTTATTTGTACTATATCCTATTGTAGTATGAAATTGTCATAATATGATAAATTATACTTTATAATATTATTGTGTTGCCACTTTGCCTGATTTTTACAGTCATAAGTGGTTTTGACCTAATATGAGTTTTGACTATAACACATATAAATATAGAAAACTTTGAAGAATTCAAAGTAAATAAAACATTTAGTTGAATATTAATTAATTGATGAAGTACTTATGTATATTTTTTTTCTTCATTAGCCATTTAATGTGTTATTGAATCAATGCAAATACTGATGCAAATCAAGAGTAAATGGTGAGCTTAGCTCCAATATAAACTCTTTATCAGATATAAATAAAAGACAATTTCTGCATTGATAGTAATCTTTATCATCTTTATGTACTATGATTTTTGTCATATAGATAAGCTATATGACAAAAATCAGTTGGGATGTCTAAAGTTTGCATTATTTCACTTACACATTGTATATTATACTTTTTATACATCATGGGCGCATGCAAGAACGAGAGATTGTGTAGTGTAGAGGGATTCCGTCAAATTACCATTAAAGGATCAGATATTGATGCTGTTCAGGTTTATCATCTTATTTATTTTTAAAGAAAATTCAGTATTTGATAAAAGTGAGAAGCCAACATGTGGTGCTAAATTTTTGAAGGATTTACCATCGTCATAAGATTTTGATATCAGTTCTAATTTCGTCAGCGAGTGTGTGATGGCTTCTTGCATTAGACTGTATGCTCAACTCCCACAGCGAGTGATGTGGTGTTTGTAATACTAAATGATGTTTAAAATAGGTTATTTAAAACAAAAGTAAAAAGTTCCATATTTTTATAAATTAATTTCAATAATCTTAATTACACTTGTTCACTTGCAAGCACATCGAGCACAGCTTTGCAGCTCTCACTAGATGATCATGTCAGCGATTGATTGGCCTAGCTTTAAATGTTTTATTATTATATCCAAAAGGCCTTTTTTATTTAGGTATGAAAAGTTTTGTAATGCCTACTAGTAGTAATTACTTTGCACAAGTTAAGCTCCACTGGTTTGTGATAAAATGTATTTCTTTAAAAACACTTGGTGTACTTATTGAATAACTAGTAGTTGGTTGTGTTAAAACTTTGAACTTGATTGAATTACTTTGCTAATAACCTATTAAGTGTAATCTTAATGTATCATTCCGTTAGAGCATTTTTAAGTAAACCCAAATAGTAGACCCTAATGCCCTGTGTTGTTTTGTGTAGTCCTTTGTTTGTTTATCTTACCAATCTGATATATGTTGTAAGATTTGTAATGATGTAATCATTTACAAAATGTTGCCATGCTTTTTTTAGTTTGTATTAGCAGTATTATGATACAGCGAATTAAACGAAATATGTGTAAGCATTAAAGCTTGGTTTCATTTCCATGTCTGGCAGGTGTAGTGTTTAGCATTTATATGTATGTATAGTTATAAAACATGTCAGTCATAAATAAGTCACTATGCATATTGAACATCAACATTCAAACCATAGTGTTTGTGGGTTTTCTACCCCAGATGAACATTTTGGGTAAAAATTAAAGACAACGTAGGTATGCATTAAGTTTATTAGTAAATGTCATAATAATAATTGTAGGTACACCGAATACAATAAATATAATAATTGCGATTTTGTCATTATGTATTGTATTGAACAATCAGTTTGTCATAGCTTATAACATGATTTTGATAACTGCATTAATTGCTTACCTAACACACATTTCTAAATTAAGGCTATAAAACTCTACATGTAATAAAAACGGTGTAAATAATTAAGTTAAATTAGATATAAAATATTTCTATACAATATAAACACAATTCACGATTTGCAAACTTAGTCTTATCGCTTAAAGCTTAGTCTCGTGATTTACTCTTAGTGCTAAATTTTCGTGGGGATATAAAATACAGTTTACCGGCATGTATGCCCAACGTTATAAAACCTCGATTATTAGGGGACAATGTCCCTAGCCATGATGCGAAACAGTGCAGTGTTCAAACCGGCATCTTAATTAGTTGTGGTAGATGCTATTTCGCAACAAAAATTTACAATTTGACGTGCTGTCGCTGTACACAAGGCCACAGTGTTAACTATCCATTTCCATTTTTGCTCTCGCTCTCATCAAATGGTGATTATTTGCGGTAGAAAGAGACGACTTGACCGGCAATGGGTAGTTAACATTGTTGCCGATAGTACGTTTGTTCCGCACCATGCCACATTTTACGCCGCTGACATTGATAGCACTAGCTATAAGAATGAGAGTACACTATCTCCTGGACATTCCACGTGATTGGGCCATATGCTGCTTCATTTTTACCCTAGTGTAGTTAAGGTACTTATTTACTTACAGTCTTGACTCAACACATGCAACTGTAGGGCAGACGTCTATTGCGTTAAGTTACAAAAAATATGAATTATTATCCGCGCGACTTACGTTCTGTCAAATTTTCATACGCCCGGAATTATTACTGTAGGTACCAAACTAGAAAAGCGTGTTGTTGAGAGTCAAAGTGGCATGCCATAAATCAAAATGATATTTTATGTACTGTTGTCTATACTTAGGCGTAATTTATAAAACTATAACTAACACGGCATTATCTAATCACATTCTAATTAATTAGTTATGTTGGTGTTCTCTCATTACACGTTAAAATACATAATAAATTGCATGAGCCACAAGGTTCATATAAACCATAATTATTATTACATGAACCATCAGCCTATCCATCTCACCATCTTAATGTTATAAAATCACTTACTCTCAAACATAAAGAAAAAGGGGCTTTATTTCCAATAAAATAGGTGCTTGTTTATTGATTGAGCAGCTAGATCACACCAAAATGCGCATTAAATTGTAAATCCACAAGCATTAAATTGTCTTATTTCAGATTTTTATGGCTCAGCTTTCCTTTCTGGCAGACCGTTTACAAGATTCATGCGTTTAAATATACTATGAAGTTCGTTGTATGTATAAAAATGCAATTTAGAATGTTTCGTTTGAATCAAATGCACAATTAGGAGGCGTCTACCTTTAGATAGCCGTTGATAAGTGATGTTTCATTATCCGTCCCACGACTTTGTTTAGCTGATAAGGGGATCATCCGATAAAACGTTGCGAATCGCTCATTCCTTTCCGTTGGTGATACCTCCATTCTGCAACAAAAATGTTTACTTAGCTAATCGCAAACTAAACAAAATTTCTCCTTGACGGCACTTATACGAAATAAGGAAAAAAATTTAGGCATTTACATAGCATAGGTTCGCTCACGCCATTTATCGCGTGACTGTTGTGACCGTTTGACCAATTTATGTTATGAACCGAAAAAAATAGAGTTTCAACTAATGGCACAGCAAGGTCAGGCGTCATACTTCGTTACTTTACCCAAGTCAATTAAATAAAGTAACGATCTTTCGTCGTGGAATTTTATTGGAGCCGCTATTTAACGGGTAAATGCTTACATAATATTGGCCTATGAAGAGCTAAGGAGTTTCAAATCCGTTGATGGTATTTTAGGGCTTGCAACGCTGTATGAAGTTGCTAATTCGTACGCGATAAGGCCCTCGTTAAAACTCGCGTAGGCGCACGTACTTTTGCTGTATCGAAAAATAGTAAGGACTCGCGCGGACGGGTGACTTTGTCATTGTGACAGTATGTTTCTGTCTGTTTCTGTTTGTGTCTTAAAAGTATAGATGACCCACACTGAACTGTCCCGCCAAACTCAATGACAGGGGGGCGCTACCATCGTTCAACTATATGGTTTCCAACATGGCAAAAATCGGAACTAGCGATCCGGTATTGACGGTGGCGCCCCACTGTCAATGTCATGCATAGGACAGTTCAGTATTTTGGAACTATACCTATAAAAGAGAAAGATAATACTGTCACGGTGACAAAAGTCACCCGTTCGCGCAAGCTCTAAGAGTAGCGCACGCCGTCCCGGGGCCCCCCTGAAAAATAACCCTAGGCCCTTGGACCTAGATACGCCAAGGGCCCCATGCACATAATTTGCCACGAGCCACGGATGGTATATTTACGCCACTGTTACCACTTAATAAGCGGGCGTCCGACACGTTCCGTGCACCCGCGCAGTTTTAGCGTAGTCCCTAAATGTTTAATCGATGTTAATTTCGTGAAAAAAAAAGGCAGCAGAATATAGTCCCAACCAGGGTTGGAAAGGATAATTATCAATGATAATTATCGTGATAATAACAGATTGATAATTATCGGTTGATAATAACAAAAAAATGCGCTAGTGAAAGTGCAACTGTAATCGAAGTTTTCGAACGTATATTTCCGCACTTTTGTCTAGTGGTGGGCGATAATCAACATAGATAGTTATAAACCCTATATATTTAGCTCCAAAATGATCACTAGTTATCTAGCGTCAAAATTTTATCTAATCTCCAATCATTATACGACTAGCGATGGATAACTTGACAACAATCAGCAACCAAAAACATAAAGTAACATTTCTTATAAAAAATATGACAAATGTATCTTATACTATTGATAATTATCTGATAATTATCCGATAATTATCATGAAGCGTAATTATCTTGATAATTTCGAACTCTGGTCCCAACCACATTACCAACACAGGGCGTTGGGAACAAAGCGCTTACCTCGTCGGCCTGCGCGAGGTGGTAGTGCCGCTTGCGCAGCGCGGCCAGGCGCGCGCGCTCCGCGTCTAAAGCGCTTTCCAGTTCCAAAGCGCGAACTTTGCTCTCCATCTCCAGTCGCCGCGTGGCTGTCAGCGTCAGCGCTGATGTGTCCAGAGCCTCTGCAACAAATAACTTGACGTTAATAGGATATAAATTAAAACTCATCATCGTTAACATTTTCATCAGCCTAGTCCAATGACAGTTTAACTTTCCCCCGGGACAAACTTGACCTTCATTGGTTGGGTTTTTGTGGCGGTCAAGCTGTAGATCCTGGCTACACACGAGTTGCAGTGGTGGGAACGAGAGGTGGGAATAGTCCCGTAAATTATCATCAGCCTATAACAATCCACCGTTGGATATAGGCTTCGGTTTGTGGCATCCAGCTTCTGCCAGCGATCTTTCGAAGGTTGTTACTTCATATAGTTGGAGTTGTTTATTCCACCGCTGGACATAGGCTTCGGTTATGCCAGCAATCTTTCGCATTTCTTTACTTCACATAACTGGAATTGTTTACCATCTTTGCCGAATCGCGGTCTTCAATAGATTTTTATTCTAGTGATTATCGGTATTTGATCACACTCTCATGCCCGTTTTCATAAACGATGCTTGCTTAAGTGAAGCAGCAAATCGAACGCACAGCGTTGAATAGAGCTCTGTGATTGGTTCGTGTGTCACCCTGTGCGTACACGCGCACTGTGAGACCTCATAGTAATAGTTATTTGTGAATACGGGCGTCAATCTTGTTACTAATATCCTTCAAAGATTCGTTGATCGAATCTAACGGGCGCCCGATGACCGTGCCGTCTTCTCAGATGTTACATTCTTAACGGATGTCGTTCTAACGAGAGCGATATCACTCTAATGAGTGCTATCGTTTTTATACTTAACAGTTGGCACCCCTGGCGATTGACAGGACCTTACTCTACAGTGGCGCCATCTCGATGAGTGCAAATGCGATAGTCCTCCTACCACTTTAGCGCTCACCAGTTGGTGCCACTGTTTTCGCTACTAGAAAGTGTGACAGGACCTTACTCTACAGTGGCGCTAACTGGTGAGCGCTAAAACGATAGCCCTCATTTCCAATGAGCGACCTGTGTCGTGGCGCAGCGCGGAGCCGGCGCGCACGGCCGCGACGACGGCGCCGGTGGCGGCGGCGACGGAGCGCGAGGCGCGCGTGAGGCGGGCCAGCGGCGCGGAGGCGGCCACGAGCTGCGCCGTGCTGCCGGCGCCTCGTGCCAGTACTGACCTGTGTCGTGGCGCAGCGCGGAGCCGGCGCGCACGGCCGCGACGACGGCGCCGGTGGCGGCGGCGACGGAGCGCGAGGCGCGCGTGAGGCGGGCCAGCGGCGCGGAGGCGGCCACGAGCTGCGCCGTGCTGCCGGCGCCTCGTGCCAGTACTGACCTGTGTCGTGGCGCAGCGCGGAGCCGGCGCGCACGGCCGCGACGACGGCGCCGGTGGCGGCGGCGACGGAGCGCGAGGCGCGCGTGAGGCGGGCCAGCGGCGCGGAGGCGGGCGGCGCGCGCGCGCGGGACGCGGCCACGAGCTGCGCCGTGCTGCCGGCCACCTCGTGCGCGGCCGCGCTCACGCCTTCTAGTCGTCCTGCCGCGCCTACTGCCTCGTCCGCTGATGACCTGTAGTAAAGACGACCGATTATTATTAGTCCACGCAGACTTTAGCTATCTTACATAATGGGATCCAGCTCCGAATTTATTCCGCCAGCGGTTCATCGTCGCCAATGCAACTGTACCGGCCTTCTAGATATGACGGTAACAAAATCTATTTAAGAGGAAGAAAAAGAGAAACAAAAGAATAGCCAAATTTGTTTATTAATAATTAATATAAGTCTCAGGGAGTGAGTTCCTAATTATAATAAAAATAATAGTACATGTAGCATTTTTTTTAATTGGCTTGCACGACTTGTGCAACCAGGTAATGTGTCTCGACAAGATAGGGAAACGAAGTTAACGCATTTAGTGTCCTGTAACAGCAGCTTGACGACCTAATAAGATCTCTTTACTTACACCAACAGCTTCGCCGCAAACACCACGGCTTTGGCTGCAGATATCAGCCCCTCGGACCACTGTGGGTTGTTCCGGTACATCTTGAGACGCGTGGTAGGGTGCCCGAGCTCAGTCTACAGGGCCCGCGCGTCTTGCACTAGCAGCTAGATGACAAAATAAGATCTCTCTACTTACACCAACAGCTTCGCCGCGAATACCACCGCCTTGGCCGCGGATATCAGCCCCTCGGACCACTGCGGGTTGTTCCGGTACATCTTGAGACGCGTCTTGGGGTCCCCGAGCTCGGTCTGCAAGGCCCGAGCGTCTTGTACCAGCAGCTTGACGGCGGCCATTAGAGTAGTGCAAGCATCCAGGATCTTGCCGTTCACTTCTAGCTTCACGCCCGAGTCGCCAGCGCGACTGGCTGCCAGCATTTCCTGGAGGCAAAAGGATAAATATTGACGTCGTTCTTGTAGTATTCTAAAGGTTTTAATCAAAAGCAGAAGCCATTTTAGTGCGTTTTTAATGCACTAAGAAAACAAGCAATGCCGTGCCGTGAGACTGCGTCCGCGCAGCGTCGCCTCGCCGCCAATGCTGAGTGGCTACCGAACGTCTGATATACGCAGCGATGGCAACGCGTATTTATTTTAAAGATAGCCGCGATGACGCTGGCGAGACAACGACGTTCAGAAGACGCTAGTGTGGAGAAGGCCTTACACTTGTATATCGTGGACAACTCTGTCACGCCACATGTCACTCCTGCCGCACCACTTCATACCGCAGGGACATACGCTGGATTGACCAGGTCAAAACCGCACTCAATGGTCTACTCTACGAGTGCACAAGAAAGGCTGCAGTGCGGGAGGAATGGCAACGGATTGTGAGGCTTGTCACAGGACCTGCCGCCAGGCATCAAAATTTTACAGGATTAACGAAAAAAGTAACCGCGTTACCTCAATCTGCGAAGCGGCTTCCTCGATAGCCTGGTCCATGCCAGCCAGCTCATCGTCCACACTAAGAGCGCCCGCGGGCCGCCCGGCCGCCGCCGCCGCCGCCGCTACACTAAGAACCAACTCGCGGGCTTCTTCATAAGACGCGCTGCTTGGACTACCACTCTTCAACGACTCGATCCATTGCTTTGTGGCCGTCAACATTGTCCTGCAGTCTGACGTGAGTTCTGAAACAAAGGATGATTTTATAAGACGCAGAATAGCCGTCGTTTACAAAAATGTATCAAAGGGTATAAAATTCTATTTAGAAATACGAAAGATCTTTAGCGCAGAGGGAAACATGGTATAGATGTCATGCTGTACTGTGCTACGTCAAACGCTTCCTAAGATATTATGGATATATGATGCGCAATATAAATGGTACTTAATGATACTTACTGTCAGCTAACGATATATCCGTGGATAAGTTGGAGACTTCGGTAGCATACACCGAGAGTTGTGCTGCGTTGTGCGCGGCCAGCATAGCTGATCTCGCCAATGACTCCTCGTTGCCTTTTACCTTTTAACAATATCATTTGTTAATTTCAGTTTTCCTTAAGTCATTTTTGTGTAACTTTTTGCACAATGTTTACCTCGTTGTATCTGGCGAGATCCTCCAGCGCTTTAGCCGCTAGCTCGGCCGCCGCCCGGTTGGACTCCTGCGCGTTGCACGCGTCCAGCGCTGTCAGCGCTTCAGAGGTCACTTCCAAAGCCGCGTCTCCGGCACACAACACTATCCTTGTGCTCTCTGATGGAATTCAAAATGAGACAAATAAGGCCAGATTTTTAGTATTGTGAATACTTTCAAAACTTACAAGTATCAATTAATTAGCTGCCATTTGAACATGATATACGGCCAATAATCGTTAAATGAGGAAATCTCACATTGAACTGTTAAACATAAGTTTGATATATCGGAATTTTGGAATATGTTAAATACTCACGTTTTTCCAACTCCTTCTTGGCTTCCTCGAGCTGCTTTTTGAGCGATGCAACGTCCACTTCCAATATGTTGTTATGTTGTAACAAATCCTGTAATTCACACTCAGCATTCAATCGTTGGCCCTCCACACGCTCTATTTTAGCTTCCAACATCTAATTACGGTATAATCCAAGAAGTGAATGAAGGAATTCACAAAGAAAATAAGAGATACTTAGCGTAATACGAGATCCGTTTGGCCAAGCGAGTCCAGCAGTAGACCAGAGCATGCAGTTTGTAGAATGCAGAATTGCAGAGCATTCAGACGCCGAGCCAAGTCGTAGTTGAGGAAAGAGAATAAAATAAAACATGCAATTAGAATACTCATGCCACTAAGTAAATGTGCAAATCACAAAAGAAAAGTAAATTAAACATCTGTACAATAGACCACATAATATCTAAAAAGACTAATACAGAATCAAGAGTTCACTAAAATTCAAGGCAGTCCATAAAATATTATAGTAATTTTTTTCATAGCGAAATTAAGAATTGTACAAAATAAAACATCCACACGAACACAACACGGTTGTGAAAATACGACACGACATTAAATACAATGTATTTTGCGTTTTGATGCTCCGAAAGATCTAAGTTGAAAATGAAATTATACCGGCCTTCACCGTCCAAGCGATATGGATATGTATCTAGTGAAACGATGTACCCCCACATTAAGTTAGTATCCTAACCTGCTTTTCTTTTTCTTTCTCTGATATAATTAAATCCATTTCTTCCTTTTCCTTTAACTTTTGACTTCTTAACTCCTCTAACTCTTCCTTCAGTATCTTATTCTCTGACTCCGATTTATCTATACTGTCATCTTTTTCACGAATTTGCTGAGTCATAACTGCGTCTAGTTCTAAAACTTTCTCGTTTAATGTTTTTATCTCATTTTCTTTTTCAATTTTAAATTGTTCATATTCCAATTTGATATTCTCTATATCAGAATTTAGAGAATTGACTAGAGTTTCCTTTTCATTGATAACGGCTTCATATTTGTCTTGTAAAGTTTTGACTTCCTCTTCCATACCTTTTTTGGTTAATTCAAAATCCTAGCAAACATATTTAATTGAATTTTAATAAACAATATTTTACACTTATAAGATAGGACGCCACAAAACATTAATAAAACCAACCTGTTTTTCTTCCCTGATTTGTTGCATGAGATTTGCCTTTTCTGTTATTAATTCTTGTAACTCGGTACTAATTTTAGAGTTTTCGTTAGTGAGATCTCTGAATTCTTTATTCTTTAGAGCTAAGTTGCTTTCATTTTTGAGAACAATATCATCGTGTTCCTCTTTCAAAGTTATAAATTCGTTTCTACCAATTTCTAATTCTGCTTGCGTCTCTTTTAGTTCTTCTTCAAGCCGCTGAACTGTTTCAGAAAGCTTTGTAACTTCTACATTAAGATCAATCACTTGTTTATCTTTTTCGGCAATCATACTCTTTAAATTTTCTATGATTTCATCCTTGCACTCTACTATATTTTGTAATTTGTCATTCAGTACAGTCACTTCAATTTCTTTTTCTTTATATTTTGCATCGAATTCAGTCTTTTGAACTTCAATGGTTTGAATGTAATTATTTAATTTGGATTGGAGATCATTCATTTCTTCGCCCATTGTATTTACTTTGGATTCGAATTCAACTTTCTTCTCTAAAGTGAACGCCAGTTCATCTTTTAATTTCGATATCTCATTGTTTTTTATATTTTCCAATTCTTGTAAGCTGAATTCATTTTTCGTTTGCGTTTCGGTTAATGATATTTCTAATTTTGACAAAACATCAGCTTTTTCTGTGATTTCTTTTTCTAAATGTTCAATTTTCTGTGATGCTTCATTTAATTTTATTTCAATGTTTTCTTTTTCAGCCGCTAATGCCTTTGTCATGGAATCACTATCTTGTTTATAAATAGTTAGTTCGTTTGTGAGCCTTGCAATTTCTGCAGACTGTTCTTCTACTTTCAAATCATAATTGTTCTTTCTGGTTTCTAAATCATTTTGTAAGATCGTAATTTTTCCCAGTGCTTGTTCTACTTCAATATCTTTTGTATTAACTATGTTCTCAATTTCTTTATTTTTAGCATCTATCTCGTCTTTTAATTGTTGGGATTGATGTGCGAAGTCTATTTCCGAAACTGTTAATTTTTGTTGTAAATTTTCTAGCTCTACTTGCATCTTATTTATGCAAACTATCTGTTCCTAATAAAGGTTAAATGTATAATGAGTATGCTTCTATTGGTTAGTTATACTAAAATGAGCTCAGACCCTATTTACTGAATATAAAGCTGTTTACATAAGTTACATGCAATAACAAAGTATCATTTCATCATCATTGTATCAGGTACCAGTCCACTGCTGAACGCAAGCCTCTCTCAATGATCATGCAGTTAATTAATTAGTACTGAGTTATCATGCATTTATACTGCTGCCCTTACTCTACAATATGTACATGCTGAACTATTATTATAAAACAGATAACTAACCTCTTTCTCTTGTTGATGTTGCTGTATCAATTCAGCGACTCGTTTCTCCGCCGCCTCTTTCTCTTCCACCACGACCTTATACTGATCCGTGCTCTTTTCTCTAAGCCCCACTAATTCTTCTTTTGTTTTACTAAGTTCGTTTTCTCTTTCATCTTTTTCTTGTTTTATTTTTTCTAATGCCTCCGTCGTTTCTTTTAGTTCGTTGGTGAGAGCCGTGAGTTTGACCTCTTGTTCGGCCTTCGCGGTTTTGTTTTCTATTTCTAACGCCTCTATGGAGGCTCGTAGCGTTTCTAGCTCGACCTCCTTTTGTCTGGACTGTTCCAGTTCGGACCGGAGGTTCGTTAGTTCGCTTTTGTATGCTTCGACTTCTTCGCTTGTTGATGCACTTTGTTGTAGCAACTCTACGTCCCTAGAGAAAACACAAATGTTATTTTATACGGAATTATACGTACCACTGATGTATGCTTTCATGTACTTAATAACTTAAAGACTATGGAGTTGTGAATTTGTTTATAAATATTTCTTTGTAATTTGAATCTAATTGCGATAATAATAAAGACTCACTTCATCCTGTCATTTAGTTGCTGCTGCAGCGCGACTTTGGCGCTTTCGTGCTGCGCCGCCGCCGCCCTCAGGCCAGCCGATAGCTTGTCCACCTCGGCTTTCTAAAGAAACGTAAACTTTTAAACGAAGTCAATTTTTGAGATAGCACTAACACAGTTCCTCGTTAAAGGGGAATTACACAAGGCAAAACTAATTTACCACGAATCTTGACTATCTTTTGACAAGTATAATAATGTAATAACTTACTTGTCTAATAAGTGTGATATGTTCTTCTCGCAACTGTGTGTACGCCCCTTTTAATTTTTGGAACTTCTCGTCTGTTACTCTGGCCTTTTCTTCTGTTTCTGATAGTTTTTCTGTGAACATTTTAAAATCCCAGTTTAATATAAATCCTCCAACGGTATATCTACTCCACTCTACGCTTACTAAAAGAAGAATACTTACGCTTTATTTCGGGGGTTTGTTCTAATAACACTCTGGATCGTTGTCGTTCTTCTTCTAATGCAGTCTGCAAAAGAAAACCTCATATTGTATTTTGTGTCCTAATTCAAATGAGTAAAATTTATATTAGAACATACACACCTTAGCTTCTCTCAGTTCCATCCCAAGACGCGTATACTGTTCTCTGGCCGTAGTCACTATTGTGTTACGTTCTTCTACCATCTCGTTCCTGCGAGATAAGAACGAAATATGAAGAAAAATCTACAGAGGTTGAAATTGTTGTTGTTTGTAAACAAAATTGATGTGAGTAATACAAGCCCATTGTACTAGATAAAATACAATAAACAAGGTCTCATAACAGTTCCGCAACAATTTTCATTGGACAGTATTAGCCGACTACATAGAAGATTGAAAGCCCAACATCATTTTTTTTCCTTACTAGCGCTTTGAGGCAAACATATGGCAAGTGCTGATAGGACGCGCCGCAACAATCTCAGTCACTCTCTTCGCTCTATTACAGGAGGGCTATAAGCATCCTCTAGCTTCACCGCAGGGTCTAGTTTCCAGCGGGGTAGCTCCGAAAAACGTTATCCGAAGTTTCAACTATTGCTATCCTTCTCACGCAAAGCGAGATGCCAGCACGAGGGACAGTGACAGCTAGACCCGGAACTACGTACAGCGTTTCGGAGTAGCCTTACAGTCCTCACCTCATCCTCTTGAGCTCGTTCTGAAGGTGTTCAATGAGCCTGTCACGCTCCACAACTGGGTCGGGCTGCGGCGACGGCGTAGTTCGCGCTTCGAAAGCGTCAAGGTGGTCCGGTGTTGTTGCCTATTGGAAAAACTACTTTATTAGTAAAACCGTTAAAGACTGACCAAGAGATCACGTGATACATTTGTTAACTAAAATCTACATGTAGAGAGTAGATCGCCTTTTTTACTCAACTGCTAAGGGTCATGTTTAACTTAACGCTTGACAATGTTTTGGGCATATCATAGCCGTGGTAGGAAAACAGGTTTTATGTCGGCTTCTTCTCCCTAAAGGGCGAGGCAGGGCATAACCACTAAGAGTAGGCGCACACCGTTGATTTTTAGTTGGCCGATAGTTGTGCCCGATTTTAAATTGTATGAAGAATCGGCCAAATCGAATCGGCGTAGTGTGCGCACTCCCATACATGCCCATACTGATCAACTGCCCGACTAAACTATCGACCGACGAAAAATCAACGGTGTGCGCCTACTCTAAAACTAAAAAAGACCACATGTAGGGTGATAATGGGCTCTGTAGAGGGTAGGTCACCTTTCTTTATTATTTGGCAATGCTTTGCACATTCTTTAGCCGCTGGGGTAAGCAAGACTTCTCCCGGAACCACAACTATAGTCTTTTTCACGTAAGATGATCCGTATGACACTTCAAGGTTATCCATATTACGCATACTACATATGCAGAATATTTTTGAAAAAATATTTGTATTTTATTAGCAATATAATAAAAAAAAAATAACTACCTTGTCTTCAAATATACAGTAAAATCTGAGTCTATTGATTATATTTTAATTAAATACGATGTAAAAATATCATTTATTTCATGTACGCAATGTGTGAAACGGAATAGATTTAGTGCTGGGGTATTTCTTGTATAATAAAATCGATTATTTCCGCGGTTCATTAATCTATTGCAGTGAATACTTAGTTATTAAAAACATCACAAAAATCAACTATATTTTTCGATTATTGACTTTAATAAACGCATTAAAAATAAATTAATGGTTTTTAATTTAAAGAAACAGAACCAGTACTTTTTAGGAATCGTTTTTTTGAACATGAACCATGAAATTTGAATATTATCAATAAAAAATTGTTACAATAATATTTGTAATTGTAAAAAACATGTTTTTTTGATAAATAACACCTATACAAAATATTTCTCTAAAAGTAGGTTTTACTAACTCTTCGAAAAAAATCGATAGATAAATCGCTATGGTTTAGTTATGTGACATCTCTAAATCTTTCAAACTCGAAACGTCATACGGATCATCTTAGGTGAAAAAGACTATAAGTCCAACATTCAAACCATTATGCCTTCTGTTAATTTATCCAATACAAGTTTTTTATATGTGCTGATTTTAGAAGAGAATATATCTATATGATTAAAATACTTATTATATATCTGCGCTAGTCTATACGATGGTGAACGCTTTCCAGCATTAGTCCGACATATATCTTTAGCAAAAAGTTTAAAAGTACGGCAGGCTCTCATGCGTGGCCTACTCGGTACTTGATATCTTATCCTATCTGTAATACTGATACAATCATATTTATTATGACAAAAATCATAAAGCAGGGTAGCCTGCAATAACAGTCTTCTAGTTCTAAGGCAGGGCAACTCATACCTTTCCAATAATCCAGAATAAGGTAAACGGCCACGATAACATTTATAGTTCATACACTTTAGGTATTTTTTCTGTACTCTTTCTAGACTATCAGAATATTTATTATAATAAGGATCCCAAATAGATATGGCATATTCCAACTGAGAACGAATTAAAGATTTGTAAAGATGAAGATATGTAGCTGGTTTCCTAAAATTGTTAGCAGATCGCATGACAAAACCATACATTTTGTATGCTTTGTTACAAATATTTTCAATATGTGAATCCAGCGTAAGTTTACAGTCTAGTGTAACCCCTAGGTCCCTAATTTGCTGTACTCTATTAAGATTGACACCACAAATTGAGTAGTTGTACTCTGTAAATACTCTTTTTCTTGTAAAAGTTATGCAGTTACATTTATTCAAGCTTAGTTTTAATTTATTTTTATTACAGTATTCCGTAAATCGGTCCAGATCTTGTTGAAATTTGAGGTGGTCAGAAGTATTATTAATTGTACGATATATCTTAAGGTCGTCTGCATATAATAAAAAGTTGCAATGCTTAAAGCAGTCAGTGACGTCATTAATGAAAACAACAAAAAGGAATGGGCCCAAAATTGAGCCCTGTGGGACACCAGAAGTTACAGAGACAGTTTCGGATTCATGCCCATTGATTACCACCTTTTGTGTTCTATTTGTCACATAAGATTTGAACCATCTCCACAGATTCCCCCGTATACCATTATAGGCTATTTTTTCTAGTAATATTTTATGATCTACCCTATCAAATGCCTTTTGAAAATCGGTGTACACACTGTCTGTCTGTTTGTTGGAGTCTATATTGTGAAATAAATCGTTGGTGTACACTACAAGATTGGTAACGGTAGAACGTCTACGGACGAATCCGTGTTGTTGTGGAAGTATGTTATTGTGGAGAAGAGGATATACGATATTATGTATAAGCCTCTCAAAAAGCTTCGCAAGAGTGGGTAAAATGGAGATAGGTCGATAGTTTGCGACGTCCTTCTTAGAACCGGCTTTGTGTACTGGTGTGATTCTGGCGACTTTCCATACTTTGGGACACACACCTTCCCTTAAGCACTTATTGTATAATTCGTGTAGCGGCTTACATATTGTTTTTGCAGTTCTTACCAAGAATATAGGTGGGATATTATCTGTACCTGCGCTTTTAGTAGTATCTAAGAATTATAATCATACTAAAACGCAAGCCAGCGTCCTGACGGGCGAGCGCGTGACACTCGACTGATATAATACCCGCCGGCGGGGCGCTTCGCTGTAGGTAATTATCGGATGTACCGCGCGGAGTGAGCCAGGCCTGGTAGGGCGCAACATGGACATTGGACATAAGCTTTGTTTTCTCCATATTCATCCGCAGGCCAAGTGTAAGTAGATATCTTCAACCTCGCCCATCAAGTTCACCCAGCGGATTCGACTTGNACATTTATTCAAGCTTAGTTTTAATTTATTTTTATTACAGTATTCCGTAAATCGGTCCAGATCTTGTTGAAATTTGAGGTGGTCAGAAGTATTATTAAGTTGGACCGACGACATCATAAAGGTATCGGGAAAGCGCTGGACGTCCTATGGCTGAGATGATGACGATGATGATGATAAGTCTTGCGGTAGATAGACTGTGACAGGGACGAGGTCAATAGCACGTAGTTCCCCGCTACCTGTTGAAATCTTGATACCTGGTCCCCGCCACATCTTGTTACCGTGGAGCTCTGCTACCGAGCAGGATGGTAGCGCATGAAGTTGCTAGACAATAATTACCTCTCACTATGCCCGGAGAGGGTGTCAGCCGGTAAGGCAGCGTGTAGCCTGAACAGCAGCCGCACGTTGCAGTCGTATATCTGTGAGGAATCCTGCGCGCAGGGAATCAGCTTCCATATAATAAGATGACTTACCTTTCCCTATGCCCGGAGAGGGTTTCAGCCGGTAACGCAGCGTGAAGCCTGAACAGCAGGCGCACGTTGCAGTCGTATATCTGCGAGGAATCCTGCACGCAGGGAATCAGCTTTTGTATTAAGATGACTTACCTCTCCCTATGCCCGGAGAGAGTGTCAGCCGGTAATGCGGCGTGTAGCCTGAACAGCAGCCGCACGTTGCAGTCGTATATCTGCGAGGAATCCTGCACGCAGGGAATCAGCTTCCATATAATAAGATGACTCACCTCTCCCTATGCCCGGAGAGGGTGTCAGCCGGTAATGCGGCGTGTAGCCTGAACAGCAGCCGCACGTTGCAGTCGTATATCTGTGAGGAATCCTGCGCGCAGGGAATCANGATAGTTTGCGACGTCCTTCTTAGAACCGGCTTTGTGTACTGGTGTGATTCTGGCGACTTTCCATACTTTGGGACACACACCTTCCCTTAAGCACTTATTGTATAATTCGTGTAGCGGCTTACATATTGTTTTTGCAGTTCTTACCAAGAATATAGGTGGGATATTATCTGTACCTGCGCTTTTAGTAGTATCTAAATATTTAAGCTCTTTTAATACATTATCAGCTGATAAGACTATTTCGCTTATGATGTTTTCAGTACGAGTTTTTGAATCTAAGTCCTTAACATCCTCCGTGCTGTAGCTATCAGAAACTTGTGTTGGTTGAAATACAGAGTGAAAAAAGGCTGAAAAAAGATTGCACACGGCTTCCGGGTTTTCAGCTGTAGTATTCATATATTGCATATTGTTAGGAATATCTGATGTATTTTTACGATTTTTAATATAAGTCCAAAAGAATTTTACATTATTTTTGATACTATCCTCGACATGTTTCATATATCTATTGTAACATAAATGTGATTCCTTTCGAAATCTATTTCGAAACATATTGAAAGTTATGTAATCCGATTCATTGCGATATTTTTTCCATTTTATCCAAGCATTCTTTTTATTTTTGAAGATATGAACAAGCGATGGAGTGAACCAAATTGGGAAATGTGAGTTTGAAATAGCCCTAGCAGGAACATGCTTGCGTACAATATTATAAATAGACTCGTAGAACAGATCCACACACGATTCAGCCGATTTATCGTGAAACAAAGTGTCCCAGTCAATACTTAAGATATCGCCATTAACCGATTCGTAGTCCGCATTTCTAAAACAGTATCTCGTCTGTGGCTTGCGAGGTATATGAGTCTCGCCGCTATCATGAGGAATTAAAACATAAAAAGGTGGATGATGTTTATCTATAGGTACTAGGGATATGGGTGTAGAATAAGCTAGACTATGAGGAATGGTCGTTATACATAAGTCAAGCAGTCTCTGTAAATCATTTTTTATTGTATTTATCTGTAAGCAGTTAAATAAAGACATAAAATTTAATAAATAAGAGCTAGGTGGTCTAGTACAGCTTGACTGTATAGGTTTCAAGTGTGCACCGTCTTCGTACCATTCAATATACGGTAAATTGAAGTCTCCTATTATACAGAAATTAGCAATCTCTGCCATTTGTAAATAGTCCCGCACACTCTCAAAGTATTCATTGTATACCTCGTTATTTACTTGAGGGGGCACGTATAATGCGCCAATAATATATCGAGAATTCCCTACGCCTAGTTCTAAGAGTATCTGATCGATTACGGGAGGGAACGCGAGGGACGCAGAGGGGGGCAGCGGCGAGCAGGTAGCGGCACGGTGCACGCGCAGCACGGCCACCAGTACGCCGCCGCCGTCCCGCCTATGCGTGGTCGCGCGGTCTCGATCGCTACGATATACAATATAACGGGAGTCAATAAATTCGTTGTTAGATATGTCAGGGTGTAACCATGTCTCAGTTAGAATGATAACGTCGTAAGTATGTAATAGAATGTTCATATAGATCGTATTTAATTTGGTTCTTATTCCTCGGCAATTTTGGTAATAAATAGATAACGAGTTAGTGTTATTATGTCTATCGAATTTTATTACTGATAATAAACAGTTTTCTGTAAATAGTGTTCATAAGTTTACAGTTAAAATTGAAGAAGTAATTTGTTATACATGCCAAGGGAAAGTAAAGTGATATATAAGTTAGCGGATTTAATATGCTTAAAAAGTTAGACAGATTTAATTTTGTTGAGACAAAGTAGTTGGTGCCATTTACATTTGCATTAATTGTAATTGTCGGGTAGAAAAAAATTAAGGATAATGACAAGTAATTCCAATAATGTTTAACTACACACAGTGTACTTGATTTATTTAGTAAGGGATCCTTTGTTTTTAATAGCTTTAGCAATTGTAGACTATTTAGGTGATATTTACTAGTATTTATATGGAGGTTATTACTGCCGAGCTCTTTACTTTTGAGATATGAGCGACCCTGTACCTTGAAATATGAAATAAAGTTATCTTCACACTTTAGTTCACATGAGTTAGAGTTACAAAATAACTTACATTTAGTTAGTATTATATCAGTGACATTATATAAGCTTAGGCATACAAAATGGAGGAATAATAATACAATAAACACATATTGTCTAGGTAGGTATGGCCAGTGTGTATGATTACGAGTATACCTTACTAGTTGAGGATTATTTGATTTTATTAATGTCTTGTTCCATACGTATGGCGACCACCGGTGATGTATCTGACTTACGTGCCAGTATAACTCCGTGCTTAATCCATACGTATTTATACTCAAATTTTTTGGCCCTGTCACGACACTCTCGAAACAAACGCTTGTTTTGTAGGGTTAGATGTTCGTTCACAAATATTTTTTGTACCGACCCAGAGATACCTAGTTGCTCGGTACTCAGTCCTTTCATTGAGCGACTTGAGGAAAGAACATTGTCACGTAGCACCCTGGTTGTGAATTTGACCACGATGTTTTTAGGACGGGTGTCTTTATGGTCTGCGTGAGGTACTCGGTGTACTGCGACTATATCTGACGCCAGTATCTGTTGTTTGATTACTGTTCCAAGGTTCATGACGATATTGACAAGGTTTTCATTCCGTCTGTCCGGCAAGTTGACAATTTCTATGTTGCAGTCTCTTGCCTGTTGTTCCATTGTTGCTAACTTGTTCTCAAGTGTTTGTATAGAGTTAGGTATATTAGCTGTTACAGATATTTGGTTTTCTACCTCCTTCATTCGTTTCTCTAATGTGTCCTGTCGCAGATCAACGGCCCCCAGCGATTTTTCCATCTCGGNTTTAATCATACAGTAAATAACCATAACCAATTTTTAATTTCAGTATTTTGTTTCGTACTCTGCAAATGAATTGCATAACAATACTAAAAGAAATTAGTTGATGAATAAATTTCAGTTTGTTATTCTTTTTCTTTTCTAATAGGTATTTCTTATTTCAGTTGTCGAATGTGGGTTAAAAATGCTGGCATAGAAGACTTAGCATATGTACCTATTGAAAAGTTACACCAACTGAAGTTTGTTTGTGGTGGGCACTTCACTCCTGAATCCTTCAATGCCAAAGGAACTCGGCTGAAGAACTCAGCTATTCCAACACTGGAATTGAGCAATCCCATCTTGNTAGCTGTTACAGATATTTGGTTTTCTACCTCCTTCATTCGTTTCTCTAATGTGTCCTGTCGCAGATCAACGGCCCCCAGCGATTTTTCCATCTCGGCTAATCGGGTATTTATGTCATTAAGTGATTCCTTGAAGCCAGCGTTGTCTGAACGCAGGCCAGTGATCGTCGCGTTCATGGCATCTATGGAGGTCGAGATTTTAGTAAGCTCAGAAGTTATAGTTGATTTTAAGGAGGCTGTAGTTTCATCAATCATACGAGTAAATTTTTCGAACATAAAATCCGTCTTTTTTTCTAGTAGTTTCATCCGTAAATCGATGTCATCATCCGGTTGCTTGCGTTTACGCGTATTTATAAATGAGTCATCCATTGTCGCTTCAATAGTTGATAAGTTCGGGTTAGAGGCGAACTTCGGTGGTGTGCGTTCGGTCATATTCGCAAGCGAGCCGAGTATGTGCGAATGAAGCAGATGTATAGTGTTGTCTTCTAATCTTCGTTGAGTGGGGTAGGCTAAGCCGAACCGATTGTCAGACAATATCAACACTTATGTCACAAAGCACAATGACGAAAACTGAACCAGTCACTTTAAGGCACTCTTGTCACGACGAATAACACGTCTGCTCTCAACAAACTTTGCGGGCGAACTGATATTTGCAATTGCGTATACTCTGAATAATATCGGAACTATACAAAATGAACAAAACTGGCCCCAATATTGACCCTTGTGGAATTCCTCTTCTAATGGGAGTAGNTGTGAATAGGTATACAATTAATTATAAAAAATCGAAATTCCTCTAAAACATACATTGCAATATTTAAAATGCGTTACAAGATAAAAGTCTCAAAACATTATTTTGTGTGAAATATTAACACTGTCAATCAAATTAATAAGAAAGTTACTATTAAAGTTTCTGAATATACGTCAAAATAAGTATTCAAGTTATGGAATAGGTACTTTTTATTATTACAAATAAGTTTTCTTTAATAAAAATTCATGTTTTATTCGAAATAATTATGCTGTTTTTTTTTTAAATACTTTAACAATAGTACTGGCTCGTGTAATGTGGGGACCGGGAGTTGACAATGAAAGAGTCTATACTATGCGATGCTAGTATATTTTTGTGGGTCAGTTTACGCAGCAACGTCAAATATATAGGTTTGGCGCGTACACATACTACACATTCAATTCAATTTGCTTTAATGTTGTTTTTTTTACTAATGGAAATGTTTTTATTACAGATACTTCATCAACATTTACAATTAAAGAGAAGAGGCTTTGGCGACAGTTACAAAATGCAAAAAAAAACAATAAGGAATATAGCGAAGTCAAGAGTGAATTTAGACAAGTTAGATTCGGAAGTGCTGACATCGTTAGTAAAGGATGTAGTGCAGAATAACAAAAAAAAGTCACAAGGAAAAAGGTGGACTTTAGCCAACAAAATATATGCTTTGACTATATTTAAAAGGTCCCCTAAAGCATACCGCTATATGCAAAAGCCTATAGAAAAAAATATACCAATGGAGCCTGGTATAAATAAAAATATAATTGATATGTTAGAGGCAAAAGCATCAAGTATGCCAAAGGAAAATAAATATTGCTCGTTAATATTTGACGAGATGGCGTTAAAGAAACGGATAATTTATAACGAAATTGCCNGCAAAAGCGTCAAGTATGCCAAAGGAAAATAAATATTGCTCGTTAATATTTGACGAGATGGCGTTAAAGAAACGGATAATTTATAACGAAATTGCTGATAAAGTAGATGGCTACGTGGATTATGGAGAGGGCGAGAACATGGGACGAGAAAAGAAAATTGCAGACCATGCGTTAGTGTTTATGATACAGGGTGCTAAACATAAATACAAACAATATATTGCGCACTATTTTGTGGAAGGCACAATATCAACAGCAAAACTGGCAAAAATTATATCGGACATCATCAAAAAATTAAAAGAAATCGGATTTATGGTTCTAACAACAGTTTGTGATCAGGGATCTACAAATATAGGAGCTCTTAACATGTTAAAAAGAAACTGTGGACAAGGCATAGATAGCAACTTTTTCTCTGTAAATAATGACAAAATTTTTATAATCTATGACATCCCTCACTTGTTCAAATCATTACGAAACAATTTCTTTAAAAGTGGAAATATGTCTTTCGATGGAAAAATTGCACAATGGAGGCATTTGGTAGTTGCAGAAGAACACAACAGAAATTTTTTAAATTTTAAAAAACTGAATAGTACCATTGTAAATCCAACATTCAAAACTAAGATGAGGGTGAAGTATGCTGCGCATGCTCTGAGTAATACCGTGGCAGCTATTTTAAAAATGATGGCATGGAAAGAAGTTTCTGATTGCAATGATACAGCATTTGTGATTGAACAGTTAGATAAACTATTTGATTGTACAAATGGTCCATCATCTTTAAATGACGTAAAGAAAGGGATCCGGGGGTACAAAATAATCTTCGCCTGGATTCCGAGTCATAGCCATATTTTCGGTAATGAAAAGGCTGATAAATTTGCCAATGAAGCTGTTGTGAATGGTGATATGATTAGCTATAAAAATTACTGTCATGACCTTTTGTCCCTCCCTAAGTCCTACTTGCGTGAATCATGGGAATTGGATTGGGCGCACACTAGTGCAACTAAAGGAAAATGGTACAAGATCATTCAACCAACCATTCCTTTAAAACCATGGTTTTTTAAAATGAAACTGGGAAAGGTCTCTACCTCTAATATTATCCGTATGAGAATTGGCCATGCCTGTATACCTACGCATCTTTTTAGACTTAAAATTGTGAATTCTGATTTGTGTGAGTGTGGTACTGGCACAGGTGACTTAAATCATCTGTTTTTCATTTGTCCGTTACATGACCGATCCTCTTTCATCGAATCCCTTATATCCTTACGAGTACCATTCCCAACTTCCATAGCCTGCCTCCTTAATATGCATTCTATTGATATTTATAATACCCTATCTATTTATATGAGTAATAATAACATAAAAATTTAATCTACTATTTTGTTTTCTCCTTAACTTTCCTGATCCTTTGCAACCTTTTTTTTTTCCGTTCTTCATTTTTATTTTCCTATACGTTTCCCTAACTTTACCTTACCTCGTCGTGGCTGACGCACAAGCCGTGCATGCCATCATAGAAAAAAAAAAAAAAAACTTTGTAAGTGAAGGATGTGAGTGTCAAATCCAAAAATGATGTCATCATCATCATTCACAACTTCAAGAAACAGTACAAAGAAAGTAATAAGGTTTTTGGAAAATTGTACAAAATTTTAGTATTAATTAAGTGAAAGGTGTGTTCATAATTATTATACCGAGTTTATGATAGTAAATATTAATCAAAAATATATTAGTGATTGACTGAAGAGATTTCAACATTCATTTTATGATATTGTGAGTCATATTAATTACATAATTATTTATGAAATGTCGCGTCTTGATAACATGGATGCCTTAGAAAAACAATTAGCAGATTTACAAATGGCTAAGGAAATAAATACGCCGGGCAAAATTAAGAAAATACCACCAGCTGTGCCACCAAAAAAGAAAGCTCAACCACAAGTGCCCTATAGTACTGCAGTCGGTAATCTACGTGAACCGTCATATTCTACAAAACTTGATCTTTCGCTGAATAATAACGCTCATACATATAGCAACACAAGTGGGGTTAATCGCCCAGCCATTAAGGAATATGCAAACGTAAGTCAATTTGCAACTCTTCCAGGCAATACTTATAAGCCTGTTGCTGGAAAACCAATTTCCTACAACACCACATATAGCAATGTTCCAACTTATCGACGAACTGATGATGATTTGCCACCGCCACCACCACCACCACCTCCTGCATTACACTTGTTACAACCAAAACATTATAATGCAAATCAAAACAACGAAGAAATATTACCACCACCATCTCCAGTTAGTTCTAATTATAGCGAACTAGTACGAGCTACCACAAATTTGAATTATAATCCAGACAGAGCGTATCCAACATACCAAAATGAATATCCTGAATATGGGGTCTCTCAAGCATCAACTTATGAGTCACTCTACGAACCAATCAATCCTCAACCACATTCCAAAAATAACATCGCAAGAAACAACTCCATTCAAAACTTTCGTACTAATTCTCCAAATCCAGTCAAACCATTACCAAAAGAACAAGAAGTGGATGCCCTAACAGATCTTTTGGTGAAATCAATCACTGATAGTCAAGACTTAGATGTTTTTGGAATTTGCATCAAGTGTAACGAAAAAGTCGTTGGAGAAGGCTCTGGCTGCACCGCAATGGGAAATATGTATCATGTGGATTGTTTTTGTTGCTATCGGTGTAACATAAAATTACAGGGCAAAACCTTTCACGCAGTTGAAGGAGAGCCATATTGTGAAAATGACTATTACGAGATTTTGGAGAAATGTTCAGTTTGTAATAAACCGATTCTAGACCGCATATTGCGAGCTACAGGGAATCCTTATCATCCTTCATGCTTTACGTGCATTGTATGCAGAAAAAGCCTCGATGGCGTACCATTTACAGTTGATGCAATGAATCAAATTCATTGCATTGAAGATTTTCATAAGAAATTTGCTCCACGCTGTTGTGTTTGCGAACTTCCAATAATGCCAGAGGAAGGCGAAGAAGAAACAGTTAGAGTTGTGGCTTTGGATCGCAGCTTTCATGTTCATTGTTATCGTTGTGAAGATTGTGGCCTTTTGCTTTCCTCTCAAGCTGTTGGACGTGGATGCTATCCACTTGATGACCACATCTTATGTAAAGAATGCAATGCTCACCGTGTACGCCTTCTAACCAATGTAATGACGACTGATCTATGAGGTTTTTTTTAATAAGATCATTATTTCGAGTTTCAAGCTTTTAAAAAATAAATATTATACTTTACATTTATAAAATGGAATATACCGCTCATTATGGAAAACCTTGGGGGAGGCCTTTGTCCAGCAGTGGACGTCATTTGGCTGAAACGAACGAATAAAATGGACTAGGGATTTTATTTAATAAGAGGCCATTTAAAATTAAGCCATAGGATACCTAATAGGTAATCTGTAGTCAAGGAAGGATAATAATCATGTATGTTACAAAGTAAAAATAGCATAATTATAATAATTAAACTTAGCTCTGTAGGTAGCTAGGTAGTACTCTCTTACGTCGACTTTAGTGTACCTACCTACATTCGCCAGCTTTTATCTACACAATGGAAAATGTTTTCGAATAATAATAATAATTGAATGTTAAAATCAAAATAAAGATTTGAGTATTGAAAAAAAAATAATTGTTCCGATTGAAAGACTGAACTTAATTTGCATTTATAATTTATTTGATTCCACAAAAAGTTATAACATTTATTTTCTAAAAAAAAACAATAATGGCAAATTTTTGCATTGTTCTGTTTTCATATTTTTAATAATCAATTTTACTTTGTTAATTGAATAATTTATTAATGATAATAAGAAAAAGTTGGTTTTATTTATTTTTATCATTTAATTATAATATTATAGTTACTTATTATAAAATATCCTTTGTTCGCTCGCGCAGCGGGCGATCAAAGTTAGTAAATTAAGTTATAAATTCGTAAAATATTGTGATAAAAATGAGATGATTTTTATAGTTGTTAAGAAGTAACAACGCATTTTCAAAATGCTAATAAATTAATTTATTGTATTTATAATTACAATGTTTTAAACTGTTTGCAGCTATCAATGTGAAATTATATTTGAAATAATAAAATATTGCTTGTATCAAAAGTTTTATTTCAATTAGCTTATGACGTCTACTATCCTACATAAAGTTATCAAGGGAATGAAGTTTAAAATACTATTGTATTCTAAAATTATGCTTTGCAATAGAGATCCTCAGTAATACAAACAATACCAGAATAAAGTAATTAAACAAAATTGCATCGTTCAACAGTAATTTCCCTAATGTAAGTTACTTAAATCCGATTCTAATTCAACTATCCAAAATACTGGCAATTTTTTCAATACAAAAGGCACATACATCACAGTATTTTTATAACTTAATATACCTATCTAGTTTATCGACTAAGTAATGGAAGCAATCATGCACTTAATTTTAGCTTGCTCTATTATAGAATCATTAAAATAAAATGAATATTTTGACTAATACTCCCCATGAGATCCGAGTTGATAATGACTTATCATCACATATCAGCCTATGCTGCTAGCTAGTAAATTGTAAAATTGAATAATGCAAAATAGGAACAAAAATTGTATAACATCTAAGTTACCTAAAAGTATTATCGACTCGAAAAATCGTGAAGTGTCTTTATTTTACAAATGTTTTGGCGATATTAAAACATTTTCCTGCTTATTTCTATTTAATACTTTACTGTCAGGTTTAGATGTTAAATAGCCGTCAACACATTTATCAGAACTTGTGCTGAAATTATTTTTAACATGAACAATGGACTCCAAATGGCTCGGTAGATTTTCCGAACAATGATATAATATTTCTTCATCCGAATTAAGACTGATTCTTGGTTCAAACCGCTCTCTTAAAATGGAAAATTTCCGTCTAGGTCGACCTTTTATCCCTTTTTTATGAATATTGTTCATTTTAGGAGTAGGTCCACTATTTTCACTATTAGAACTTGCGTCTTTTTGAATTAAAGACTGTAAAGAAGTTGAAATACGATTCGACGATAAATCTTCTGCTGAACTATGTGGTCCTGTATTTTCAGTAACAATTTGCCAAAGTAGGTCAATGTCTTTATTGGATAAATCTTGAAGATTGTGTTCTGATTTATTATTTATTTTCTTAGGTTGGGTTTTAGTAGTCATCATATTAGATTTCATACGACGTTTCATATTTCGGTTGTATAATATCCCTATTTCTGAATTATTACTGTCTTGAGATATGGATGCACTAGATAAATTTAAGTCTTTTTGGAGTTGATCATTTTTTATGCCATGAGGCAAGTTGAAAATATTTTCTTTTTCTGGTAAAGATTCCATAATGTTACTGGAATTAAACTTAGACGGTTCCTTCCACAAAGCCCTTTTCAGTGTTGACCCTATTTTTACGGATGCGTCGAACTGTGGGGAGTCCCACATGTGCTCTCTTCTATGATATAAGTTTCTGGGAGAGTTAGTCACAGTTGCTTTCCTTATCTCATCAATCGTAGCAACCAAAGAACTTTCAGAATTCAACCTCTTCTTACATGGCTGATCTTTATCACACAAGTCATCAAGTTCTTCCATGATAGGCTCCAAATGATTAGGATCTTTGCTAATATCGGTCATGCATGGTTTTGCTAAAAAGGTGTCATCATTAGAGTGACAAATTACAGCATTCACATAATCTTCTTGACTACTTCTTTCGAATTTCACAAACACATTTGAATAAGTTGGTGCTTTTTTAGGAAAAGGTGAAGCAGATAATATAGCGTTTTTTAATTCCTGAGATAAGCAACTGCTTATTTCAGAGCTACCTGAAGTGAGTGTATCTCGTCGTCTATCTCTCACTACACTTCCATCGTGTAACCAATTTTCTATATCTGAATAGCCATTCCATGACCGAAGGCCCCATGCTTCCCTCGCAATATTTACTGCGCAAATATTTTCATAGTCGTGAACTGAAAGCATTTCTGTCGGTGTATCCAAGTCTCTTTGCTTTGATGTAAATGTTTCCCCACTGAGAATGTTTTTTCCTTTACCTTTTTTCGCATACATTTCTTTTAAAATATCTAATGCTATTCTTTGAATGTTTTCTATATCTGCGTCCTGATTTCCTACTTTGATATTTTTTAGTGCGCTCAAACACAACTTCTGCACAATATTTTCATTAAATGTATTAATGTCAGAACTATTAATATCACTAAAACTTAAATCTAAGTCCATATCAATAGAGTCCGAAGAAGTTTTTTTATTAGAGCCATCTGTATCTTGACTTATTTCAGAGCTGTGGTCAGTTTTTATACTTTTCATAAAGTTTTCGTTCACCATACCGATGTTGATGTTTGTTAAATCATCTCTCAATTCATCAGATGAACAAATTCCTCGCCGCTTTTGTGAGTTGAGATTGTTACAGGTAATTTCATCAATCGAACTTTCTAAATTATCAATCGCCGTTAATTTTAACGTTAATTCAGTTGGAGAGCATATTTTCAATTTATAGTTTTTCGTATTTCTTTTATTTGTTCCGCCATCATTATCTTCGTTTTGTGTCATAACCTGAGGTGTATTCTCAACAGTGTAAAATTCAACACTTGATACATCCATGCTGTTATTGCCTATAGGCACAGAAGAAAATGTGGGCGTACCAGACCTTGCTATCCAGTGGTCTAAAAGAAAATTTTTATCAGCATTTTGCGTATCATTTCTAGATTCTTGATCAGGAATTGGAGATATATCACTGCAACAGTATTGAATAAAAATATATATAAAACGATTTAACTGGTTACTTTCAACGCACAAATTAGTGCTAAAAGTACCTACCTGTTTTTAATTTGAGTAGGTTCTTTCTGTGAACTTTTAAAACATCTCAAGTTGCTAATTCCTAAATTGCTAGGATTCGTTCTTGTTGTTTTATTATTTAACTCAAGGTCTTCATGAGGAATTTTCCACTCTATTGGACCCTTTGAGTGAAAATATCTATAGTAAAATATCATCGAACATAAACCTATAAAAGTAATATTCATTAATAAACATCCCAGCGGATTAACACAAGTACAAGTAATTTAAAAAAAAATATTCTAACACTTGCCTATGAATGTTCCTCCTATAAGAAACACCGTACATGTGATTGACCATGGCTTCTGTTGCCGTCCTATATCGGATATTATAACATACAAAAATAAACTTCCCAGGTTTTGAGTTACGATCAACGTATAAAAAGTCAGAATACGATAACGTGTTTGGCCTTCCCTTAAATTGATGTAACAAAAGCAATAAACAAATCCCATCACAACATTGTAAAGAGTTTCTTCCAGTTTATTTGAACAAAAAGTAGTTTTTTGGATAATAATCCAAAAAGTCATAGCAGACCAATGTAAACCTGCAACAATAGAAAATAATAATTGATAAAACTTAATTAACTAAATTATAATAATTTTAGAAAAGTACCAAATCAAAATAGTGTTTGTACTTACTGAGCACGGGTTCTTACCTAAGGGTATTAGAGTCCATATTCCAAAAATTACAGTAAATAATAAAATGCTTGAAATCCTCCCAAGGAGCATACTAAAGTGCCAAATTAGTTGTAATAACAGAGATTTCCAATGAAAAACATCATTAGAAAAAATAAAAATGCTGTAGATGTATGTGGCACAACCCCACACAATTGATGCAATAGACGCTGTAAGAGCAAATGCTGAAAAATAAACAAATAGGTACTTAATATTTAAAAAATACAACTAATGGTTTGACAAAACACTAGAGAACTAAAGTTAAGGTTTACCTTTAGTATAATAGTTTTCATTTAATATTACAATTGCGTAAGATTGTAGTATGACTTGAGGAACCGTTCCCGTGAAAATATACAGAAAATGCAATAAACTCAAATCATTTCTCTGTGAAAATAGTTTTTGAGTTTTTAATGATTCCAAATTTTTGCAAGCAAAAACTTTGTGTAAATATACTATGTATCTGAAATCAATGAATATCATCTGGGTTATTGTGTTTCACAATAAATACTATGCATTTTTGTAAGTTTTCATGTTCATAAATAATTATAAATGTAATTACCTCTCAAGTAAACCAACAAGACATAAATGTGTAAGCCAGTGTTTTGCGTCGGATTTCTGATCAATAGCATACCACCTTATTGAAAAAATATTTATTAATAAATTTGGTGTAATAATAAATATTAATGTTGGGATCGCCCAGTAGATATGACCATCATTACAATATTCTGCGAATACCAAAATATCTGAAAATTGAAATAGTCAATTCATATGAAAATAATTTACAAAATAGTAATCAGTAACAGCTTTTTTACAATTTCATTACACATCAGTAACGTACCTGTAGTCAAATCTGCAAGTATAGTAACAAGTGAAATAAACACACACAGAACACTTAATACACAAAAGTTTTCTTCTTGAGAAATAGTTAGTTTGTTGTCTGATTTTGGTAAACCTAATCTACAAGCTTCTGCCATTCTTTTTCATTCAATAAAACATTTTAAAAGAAAAGAAATCCTAACTCACTACTTAATGACAAATAAAAGCTTGTTTTACAAACTGGTATCAAGAAACCACTTCAAGAAGCCGAAGTCCGAGCATGTAATAATAATATCAACCAATCAGAAGGCACCGGCGCATGCGCAAGTTGCAGCAGGTAAGTTTTGATGAAAAAATGAATGAATGAAGTAACTTTTTACTTCGCCGCTCAGAGCTTTTAAGGTCCGACTCTGTTTATTAATTTCCATGTATTCCGTCTCTTTCACTTACTCCACAATACTACCGTGTTCGACAGAGATAGATACAACGGGTGAAATTTATAGACCCCGTTGATCTGACATTTATAGTGTTGTGCTGCTGTGCTACGTAATTCGATTACGATTTACTATAAGTTCATTCTTTTGAGCAATTGTATTGTTCAATGATTGCTATTGGTTGGTTGTATTTTTCAAAGACAGTAGAGCCAATAGAAACAAAGAGAATGAAG